ATTAATATTGCACAGTTGCTATTTTGTGGCAGAGCTGTTTAAAAAGCACCTGATTGATGGCAGCTCATAGATCTGCTGCTTATCGTAGGTTGGATCCCTGCCTACTTGAATTCTTTCCAAAACCAAACCTGTCTGTGCTTTGATATATAGAGGGCTAGCTCTATTTGCTGCTTTCCTTTAAAAAGGATCAATAGGTTGGAAGTGGAGAACTCACAGTTTTGAAACCTTAAGCCTTTTAATTATGGATTTAGCAGCAGAAGTTGAAGTCATTTTGCGAAGCTCATCTGGCCATGGCTGTTGAAAGTACAGCTGTACCTGATGGCTTCTGCACTTCTCTTTAGACTGTTAGATCTTGTATGTGTGATTTATTATTTAGATTTCTGTGTATCTTAAGCCTGGATTTTGTTAGTTTGATTATTTATAAGGGTGATAATCTAAAATTCTAGATATTACTTGAAGTATTTGGAATGCGAATGATCATATATCCCCAAGGTCACGCTTTAATCCAAACCACACCTCACTAGATACTTGTTAGCTCTTGTAGCTAAAGGAGACGCTTAGTTTTTCAAAATAATTTTATAGCTGATGAAAAAATTGTCTCTAAGGTAGAAGACCCCTTTGAAGTTATTAATTTAATTGCTGGGGAAGAATTCAGCAAGTTTTAGGAGTTAGTTAAAATAACTAACCTTAGTGTGCCTTGATGTAATTTATATAATGATATTTCGTAGTCTGCATTGATGACTTTATTTCTATGTGTTTATTTTCCAGGTGTAAAACCAAAGTGCCTATATTTATATGAAATACAGGAGTTTCCAAAATTGTCTATAATGTAATCCTCTTCTGTGTCCTTATTCTTTAGCCCAAATGTCACATGCTTTTCAGATACTTGGTCTTTCTGAAGCAATTCATGCTGTGAAACTGGGACTTGGAGCCTTATGCTGTTGTATTTAAATTGCACTGGGTCTTAGATGGAAAGCTTTTTTACCTTTTAGGAGGTATTTGTGGCCATAATGTAAGGGCTGTTTCAGTAGCTGGGGCAGAAACTAAAAGTTTTTCTTATTTTGAACCATTGGGAATTATATCTGAAATCTGATTAAAGAAAATAAGTTGTGGAAACCCTTAAAAATAAAATTTTTGGTGCAAGAACCTGCCTTATCAGTCTCATCTTCTAGACTAACTGCTTTCTTCTTTACCGCATCACATATTCAACTTGTTGGTTTGTTGCTTCCTAGTTGTTTTTAAAAATGTATAACCTTTATACTCTGGGTTTTTGTAACAGGGCCTGAGGGCTATCTAGGGACAGACTCCCAAGATCCATCAGCCTTCATTTCTCAGCAACCAACTGTACAAGAGGAAGAAGAAGTGATGATAGCTCATTCTCATCAGGAGGAGGTTGACAATGAATATGTGTCCAGGGGCTGTAGAAACAAATGCCATTCTCACTTACACGATACTCTAGGACAGACAGACCATCTTAGCCACCATCACCATGACTACCATCATATTCTGCATCACCATCATCACCAGAACCATCATCCCCACAGTCACAGTCAGCGCTACTCACGTGAAGAACTGAAGGATGCAGGGATAGCGACTCTGGCCTGGATGGTGATTATGGGAGATGGACTACACAACTTTAGTGATGGGCTAGCAATTGGTAAGTGTTAACTTGGACTCTGCAGCTTTGTTATATGTGAAGATGGTAAAGTCTTCTTGCTGTCACTTATCTCTGTTGGGAATGTAGCTCATTAACAGCAGGTCTGTGAAGCCTAAACTTCTATCCAATAGCATCTCTGAATGAATAAGAAAAATCTCCAGTTTAGCAACATGGAGGTCAGTGATAAATGAAACAGAAATTATGTGCTTACAGCTGCATTTCTTTAGGAAATCCATAAACTTAGCTACATTTTCTATTTTTAGCAAAGTAAAGCTAATGTTTTTCAAAACTAAAGCTAGGCTTATAAAAAAGTATTCAGGACTGGCTTTTTATTTCAAAACCTGCAAGTGCTCCACGTTTTTTTTAATCCTAATTTTTTTTATGACAAGCTTGTATTTTTCGTCACCTACAAAGTAACTAAGTTTTTTTTTACTTTAGTCAGTCCACTAGTGTCATGGGCTTCTTTACTTCTTTTTCTCTTCCATCTTCACTTTTTACGCAGCAAGGTCAGGTTCTATACTTGGCATATCTATCTTCTGGGCCCTGGTTACACATCATGTGTAAGTTCCCCTAGAGCACTGGTGGGTAGGGAGATGGGGCCTTGGTTTCAATCTGTTTTAGCCTGAAGTTTACCCAAATGGATTAGGCAATATATATGTGTGATTTCAGTGCTGCGGAAGGTAGGCATGCATTCATTTTTGCTGTAAAATTAATTTGGTCCAAATCATTGTGTTCTTCAGGGTGCTGTTACATAGCATAGCAGTTGTGTCACATCCAGATTTTCAGATTTTACCATCCCCTAAAGAGAAGCATTACAGTTCTTCCTAGTGCTTGTACTAACTTCCGGAGAAGATCTGTGCTGCTTTTTTGTATCCTAGGAGTGTGTGAGAAGGACAGTAGTTAGCCATTACCTGTCAGAAATGTGATTCGTGAAGAAGATACCAATGAAGTCACTGTATGTTGCATTTATACAGATTTTTGGATTAAGAATACCTATATCAATTATAGTATTAACATTTGGACTTGATCTTAGGTCTTTTGCAACCTAAATGATTCTATGATACCAGAAGTAGTTTTCTTCAAATGCTCAGTTTATCGTCCTCAGTCTCTCTTCTTGGAAAAGGTTTTAAAAAAGTTTTATATTCTTAAACAGCAGTCATACACTACTCAGAATCTTATTCCTAAAGTTGAGCTTAATAGTCCATTTTTAAAAAACTTAAACTTGTATAAACACTTATTTTACCTGTAAACAAAACACTTATCTTTTTGTTCCTGTTTTGTTCGTGTCCCTGTTCTTCCCTTAACATGTTGTCATTGCTCAGTATTTTTTGCTAATGCTTCAGTGAAAATATTTCTTTATCACAAAAATAATAGGTTGAATATTTTGTTTTGGACTTCTGTCTGGGAGGACAGCTTTGGGGATTCTAATTTTTTTCTAAGAGAGCTAGACTACTTTTTTTTTTTTAATTTAAAACGTTAAAGTAAGCTATTAAAAGTGAAGTCAAAGCAGTAATCTTCAGTTCTTATGCTAATCTTTTCTGATCTTGACTTTTGTATTTAAGACTAATCTTTACAGGTATTGGATTCATTTCCAGCTTGCTTAGCATACGGGGGAAGTTCAGCAGTATCAGTCTTTCTGTAAATTTTATTGTAGGACAAGTTCGTTCTTGTTTGAGGGGAAAACCCAATAATAACTATTTTTTTCACAGCAGTATTGCAGTTGTTCAGATTCAGTCAATTCAAAGTGTAATGTGAAAAGAGACTTTCTTATTTAATCTCATTTTTGATGAAAGTTGAAGCATGGAATGTAAATTTTTGAGCAGATCAGTAGTGAAAATGGGGTAGAAGGAAGATTTGCATACAAATGACACACAGAATCAATTACCTCCTGGCATTAGGGAGATTTGAGAAGGATCTATGACTTTATAGTTATGAAGGGAAGAGTATAAGAAAGGTTAATAAAGGCTTATTGAATGGGAGAGCAATAGCTTTTAGAAGTCCTGCTGTGTAGCTTGTTCAGGCTAATGGAAATATGGGTTTCCTTCAGTTCTGTATGTGCTTAAAAGTAGTATGGAAAAACATTGGTTTGATGGTGTTGTGAAAATGCTACTGGTGTTGTATCTTACCTGTATTTAAAAGAAGATTTGAGTGCTTATGTAAAGGTAGCTTTAGCCACCATAACCCTTCATTTAAGTTCATTTACTCCGCAATTTGTTATTCATGATTTCTATCAGTTACTTCTTTCCTCAAATCTGTTGCACTAATTCTGTAGGAACAAGTTTTAGAAGTGCTTATTTTTTTTATTAGAGCATGGAACAGTTGCATCTGACTCATTTGTACAAAGTGATCATCTGTGATTTGGACTTTTCTGTGTAACTGCAACTAAATAAGTAAAATACAGAACACTATTTTTACACTACTCTTGCATATAATTTTTTTCCTTTAGCTTTTGAAAGAAGTGATGTCTTAAAAGTATATTTTTAGATACCAATCATGCTACTGAATCAACTTATTGATAAAGAATAGTGCCAGATTTATTAATGTCATCTTCAGTTTGTTGACGTTTGAAGACTTCTTTTTAGCAGCGAAAAAGTAAAAATAGATATTTTTGTTATTTAAACTTGTACTTTGGTTACTTCTTACTTTTCCTTGTTGAACTTTGTAAGAATTAAGTTTACTGTGGTCTTGTCTAAAGCTCCAGTGCTTGATGTGTCACCTCAGCACTTATTTTCTCCCCACTGCCCCCCAGCTTAGTGTCATCTGCAAATTTGCTCTTGATGCCATCTGTTTCATTCAGATCATTAGTGAAGCAAAATTGGTTGCAGTTTTTGTCCTGGTGAGCTCTACTTCTTAATAGCCAGCCATCAGGTCTTGTTAGCTCAGCAGTCCAGCCAGTGTGCAAGCTCATGTTTCCTCTTTTCCCACTATCTCTCTGTAAGCAATAGTGTCAGAAATCCTACTGAAGTCAAGTTCTGTTGCATTCACTGCTATCACTGTCTCTACAGTCAGTCAGTTACTTCCTAAAGCTGGATGAAGCATTTGGAGAGGGATTTGAAGAGGATATTCAACATGATCTTTCCAGGAACTTAGATGGTGCTGACTGTTCCCTGAGTCCTGTTCTTTGCCTTTCTTAAAGATGTGAATAATGTTATCCTTTCCTCAGAGTTCCACTGGGGCCTTCCACAGCCATAGTTTTCCACAAATGATAGAGTGCAACCTTGCTGTCACACCAGTCAACTCCGTCAGCACCCTTGAGTTAGAGTCCCATCCTGGCATGTGTATGAGTGTTTCCAGGTTTTATTACATATCCCTCAACTGTTGCTTCTGTGGTTTGCTGCCCCTTTCTTTCTGGCATGGTGCTGGGATCTGGCTTTGCTAATGAGGACTGAGATGAAGGCTGTGTTGATGCTTTGCTCTTTTTATGTCTACTGCTTGTTTCCCTTCCTGTTCTATCCACAGACCTGAATTTTTCCTGAACGTTGTTTCTCAGCTAGCATTCTTGTAGAACTGTTTCTTGTCATCCTTGGTGTCTTGTTAGTTTTGGCTCCAGCTGGGCTTCGTTCTTCCTCCTTTTTGTTCCACTGCTTTTAACTTCCTTGTCGCCAGTCTTTGTTCCTATTTCTTGTGTGCTTCTCTTTTGAGTCTTAATTCATTGAGACACACTGCTTACTGGGCATGTCTTCTGTGAGTGTTCCTGCACCAGCCACCTCTTCTGGGCACTCTTTCCCTTTTGATTGATTCCCAGGGTGTTCTGCACTGCAATTCCTTAAAGAAGTCAAAGTCTGCTTTGTTAAAATCTAGAGTCCTAATTTTGCTTCCTCCTTTCCCAGCCTCCTCCCGTATCCTTATCTCAGTTACCTCATGCTCTCAAGGTGTTGTTTTTTGCTGTATTGGCCATCAGTTTTTCCTTGGTTTGGTGCAGTGGGTTAATTAGAAGGCTAATCCTGGCTGACTTTTCTGTAATTTCTATTGAGGAAAGCATTACCAATACAATTAAGGGACGTCTTTGATTGTGTGCCCAGTACTGTTGCCTTCACAGCTGAAAAATCTTCTGTGAATGATTCTTGTGTTCATAGGTAGCCTTAGTCACCACCTTTTCTTGTTTAGGTGGTCTGTGAACAGTACTCCTGGGTCTCTTGTGTGCCAGCCTACTGTGTCATGGCCTTGTGGCTCTTTAACTGCTTATTGGCAGCACCTTGTTTGCTGGCAGGCTGCTGGTACCAGCTGAAGAGGAAGCTGGATGTGGTTGTGCACCCTGGGGCATGCTGTCCATGCAGCTGGGGACCCCCCATGCTGTGTGTGACCTCTGCAGCCCTGCAGTGTGCTGTGTCCTCCTCAACTGCTGCCAAATGAGAAAAATGGCAAGCAACAGGAGAAGCAGGGAAAACCAGAAAGATGGGGACTGTTGGACTGTTGGTTGTGTTTTTTCTTTCCTCCACTTAAAGTGTAGTAGTTTGCTTATATTCAAGCTGTCTTTCATTATTGTTTTCATGTGACTTACACAGCATCTCTTAGTGTTTGAACTGACTTTCCTTTTTCAAGTGCTGACTCTCAGATGCAGTTCAACTCCTTTCATCCCTTTGTAACTTTAAAAAAAAAGTATTTATTGCATTTTTTGTGAAGGGCAATGTTGTTGGAAGGTATTAATTCAGAAATAAAATAGTGAAATGTGGTTTACTCAGAAGATTCTGAAAGAGAATTTTGAAACTTACGAATTGTAAACAACTGTTCAGTTAAACTGCTTCCACAAAGAGAAGAAAAACTTGAGTGAAACTAATATGTACTAATATGACACAAGCAGCACGTGCAACAATGCTTCTGAGCTTGATGTCTGTATATGCAGTAATGTTTTGTTCACACCTCTTTTTCTTTGTATGTTCATAGGAGCAGCCTTTACTGAAGGGCTGTCTAGTGGTTTAAGCACTTCTGTGGCTGTGTTTTGCCATGAATTACCTCATGAGCTAGGTAAGACCCCAGTATTTCCATATACTGCATGTATATATTCTTAAAGGGGCACATGGGGGAATAAGAGATTTTATTCTGTGTTGCTATAAAATTTGATCAGAAAACTTCATCTGTGTCAGGCTGTCTAATCAAGAATATTTTTAATTTACTTAAAGGCATTTTTAAACATTTCTTAATTGAAATAATCTTACTTTTAAAAATCTAAATATTTCAGCTACTGTGTTTAAAAGTCCGCCTCTTGCAGTTACTTACAGCTTGTTCTGTCGAGTTGTAGTTTTTATTCTCCTTGTATACAACATAAGTTGTGAATTGCAGGAGGATGCATGACAGAATTTGCCTTTCTCACATCTCTCTTTAATTTTATTCTTGTGTTTGTGCTGCTAAAAGAAGGTCATGATTAGTCAAACTACTTTCTGCATAACATTTGCTGCTTTTTTCATTAAATCTTGCAAAGAACTGCTGTAGCTCTAAATTAAACGTGAAACTACTTAGAAATCTTTCCTAGAAATAATTTGTCTTTCAAGCTCAAGTGATTTAAATTCATGTGCTGTCCCATGAGATGTTATTTTCATGTTTTACAATGTAAGTTCAGTATTTGGCCCTTTTGCGGGGCAGCCTGTGGGAACAGGACAGATCTGCTTTGTTAAACCTGAGACAAAACTGATCTTCCCAACTGTCAGATCATTTTGAACATGCAACTGGTGTTTATTTCTTAACTGTCATAGTCACAGTAATACTTGATGTATTGAATGAAGAAAGAAAAGTTTGCTTGCATTTTTTAAGATTTAATTCCCTAGAGAGTAGAATGTTCAGTTTCATTTAAAGGAGCTTGTAAACCAGTATGTGTAAACATCAAACCCTGTATTAAACAGCTTGATATATTTGTGCAGTAATTCTATACAGAAATAGTTATTCTGCAGAAAACATAGCCTGATTTTATGACTTGGGAGGAGTTGAGTTTTGTTCATAATAATCATGGAACCTTGTATTAATTACATGTACTAAAAGTTGTTACTAAAAGTAAATTCATGTTATGAATCTGATAATTTTAGATTCAGCTGTTCTGTTGGTTTTGGAAATAAGGAAAAATCTTTAAAAAATTTAAATCATACTTTATTCAGCACAGAAAGCTTGATAAGAAATACCTTCTTTAGCAAGGACATGAAGTGCCATAGTAATATCGAAACAAATGGGACTAGCTGAAATTAGCTGGGATTAAAATTGGATCATTGTTGTTAATGCTAAACAATGTTTATAATATATCAGTTCATCTTAATTGCAGTATCTTGTAGGAAAAGATGTTGTAACAATTTACTCAATTGACCTTTGAAGATCACTTTTGTTTATTTGTTTACTTTAACTGGAGATAACTTATATAAACTTCTACTACTCTGGTCTAGAAAAAAATCTGTTCTGAATTACAGGAAATCTATTTCTGGCTGGTGGCCTATCATTCCTTCAAGTAAAATTAAGACATTAAGGTTCATTTACAGAAATTAACAAAGAAATTACTTCAAAATTTATAAAAATACTTGAAGTACAAAGAGCAGTTACAGGATAATAAATGGAAGAATCACTATTGCTTTATGCAGTCAAATATGGGAATATTTTTTTAGGGACTTCTTTAGAGTGCTCATGCATATCAAGTACTGCAACATTTTACAGTGGTGGTTTAAATGCAAACTACACTAAGATATAAAGCTCTTAAAGAACATCCAAAGCAGGGCTATGTAGATGGTGAAGGGACTTGAAGGGATACAAGGGATAGAAGCCATACAAGGAGCAGCTGAGGTGACTTGGTCTGTTCAGGCTGGAGAAGAGAAGATTGAGGGGAGACCTCCTTGCAGTCTACAACTTCCTTGTGAGGGGAAGAGGAGGGGCAGTGATCTCTTCTCTGGTAATCAGTGACCTGAAGTTGTATTAGAGGAGGTTTAGGTTGGATATTAGGAAAAGGTTCTTCACCCAGGGGGTGGTTGGGCACTGGAACAGGCTCTCCAGGGAAGTGGTCACAGCACCAAGCCTGACAAGAGTTCAAGAAGTGTTTGGACAATGCTCTCAGGCATATGGTGTGCTTCTTGGGGCTGTTCTGTGTAGGGCCAGGAGCTGGACTTCCATGATCCTTGTGGGTCCCTTCTAACTCACGTTATTTTGTGATTCAGTCCAAAGTTGCTTCTTCCAAAACTCCTAAGACTTTAAGGTTATAACCTTACAGTGTTTGCTGCTGTGTTTGTTTGCTGTGCTTCATGTGCTCCCTTTAATTTTCTGTCTCCCAGTGATTTCTAGTTTTATGAAGGAAAAAGAATAAGACAAATGACAGCATAGATCAATCTTAGTAATCTTGTAAATAAGAAAACTGTAAGTAAGAAAATACTAAAATAACTACCTGAGAATGAAAACTTCGGGTGTATTTTTTTCCTTCCCCTGTTGTAGGAGATTTTGCTGTACTTCTAAAAGCCGGTATGACTGTCAAGCAAGCTGTGCTTTATAATGCTCTGTCTGCTATGCTGGCCTATCTTGGGATGGCGACTGGGATCCTTATCGGTCACTATGCAGACAATGTCTCAATGTGGATATTTGCACTTACTGCTGGCTTGTTCATGTACGTGGCTCTTGTGGATATGGTAAGTGGCTAGATTTACTTGAATTTTATATAGCACAGTTTAAGAATTAATGCTAATTTTATTTTCATCTCAAATTCTTCCTTCTTTTCTCCCTCAATTAACTTTCTCTGGGCTTGGAGGTGCTAATGAGTGTAAGTGCTCAGTTAAATGTTAAGGTGAAAGTGCTTTTATTCAGATTACTGTAGGAACATGCTCTGTTTTCCCCTTAGCTGTTAAACAGAGGCAGTTAACAGCAGAGGTAAAGAATTTGCTGCTGACAGTGCCCAGTATGGCTGGTAAGACTGCAAGTTGCACACTGTCAGCACCACCAAATTTGCTCCAACTTTTCCTTGAAATTGTTACTGCTTCTTGTCATGAAGACAGATATTTTTTAAAAATATATATTGTACCTCCAGAAGTATGTTTGTACAAAGTGGATATTTGTGAAAGCTTAACTGTCATTTTAAGAATAAAATTGTTGGTGTGTCTCAGTTAAATCACTTATTAAATAATCATATCACGACTAAATGGTTGACTTAAAACATCAGCATAATTACCATGAAAACAATAATTAAAACATTATGGGTTCTGTCTGTGTGTAAATATGAAAATAGCCTCTGACAGTGTTGTTCATGTTTGAGTAACACCTAATTCAAGGAGCAATATGAATGCAGTTGATGGGAAGAACTAGAGGAGTAAGACTTCTCTACCTTGTGCCTTATGGTTCAAGAACTGGGTTTGAAGTAATTGTTTGTTTTGAAGGCATTTAACACTTTCATGTTTGTTTAGGTACCTGAAATGCTCCACAATGATGCCAGTGATCATGGATGTAGCCGGTGGGGATACTTCCTGTTACAGAATGCTGGGATTCTCCTGGGTTTTGGGATAATGCTGCTTATCTCAGTGTTTGAACATAAGATTGTATTCAGGATAAACCTGTAATCCTGGCTGCCAGAAAGACAGCTTGGTGTTAAATTATAAGTAGTAGGGTTTTTTTTCTATTAAACTCCTTATTGGAGAGGTACATTTGATATAGACTAGATATTTTTATTGGTGTGCTTTGTGGTTAAGCCCTTTCCTCCCTTCTCCCCGGATAGAAATGAACACTGTAAAGTTTTGGGTTTTTTTACTTGGGATTTAGTATTGCTTATGGTACTGTGGAAAGTGGTACTTGGTAAAACATGGTTAAAGTGCCAAATCGGTGTTGTCTTTGGGGTTAGGTTGGGTTTTTTTACTGAACTTGTTTACTGTATGTAATTATACGTTATGTTTTTTTACTTCAATGGTTTGGTTGGTTTAGAGAGGCAAAACAACAGTGGTTTTTATTTTAGCACAATCAAAATGAGTGGATACAAATCACAGTGAGCAGTGTAAAATGAGAAAAAGACAAGTAATGGTTAGCATGTGTTTGTATTGGCAGACATTCATCTCTTCTTCATACACCTAGTTTATATGGATTGGTAGCTGACTCCATCCTTTGTAGTGGTGGTGCTCTCAACAGCTTGTGGATTCCCTGTGTCTTATTCCGGTTGCTTTCTACTCTAAACAAATTAATATGAAATAATGTTCCAAGTGTTTGCATCAAATGTTTTACTTGTTTGATCCCTTCTGATACCTGTTGCTTTTCACTGATTTGTCAAGTCAGCAACAAAAGTACAGCTATGAAATTGTAAAAGTATGGCTCTAAAATACATGAATTTCAGCAAAAAGGCTTTAAAAGCAGTGCTATATCCCACTTATACTGCCTGAAATGACAAAGGTATATTAAAACCTGTTTGATATCAAAGGGGGGATCAGTACAGGCTGAGATAAAACAGTCATTTACTATAACAGCTTCCTGAAGTAAAGTGTTGGTTTACTTTGGGAAAATGAGCTGAGTGGGAGAGCTGCCTACTTCTAGTTCAGTATGATTGCACACGAACTTGTGCTTGCAAAGCAGTTACATTCTTTGCAAGAACTAAGACTGAGAAATCCAAAATACCAGAATTTCTTTGACAGCATATCTAGGGAAGCAGCATGTTGAGAATAACAAGTGTAGACTTAACTGTGTGGTTTGAACTTAGTCTTAATATTTTTCACCACCCTGAATGTAACTGAAGTAAGAAGGCTGAAAAAACAATAGTAAAATAAATAAATTCTGCATTTGTGCAGGGAAGGTGAATATTAGACAACTTTTATTTGATTAAAAACTAACAGAATTATTATATTTTACTAGCTGGCTTTAAAAATCCTGGAAATATAACAATTAGAACTTATTTTTGATCCACTGCTTCAAATCACCAGCTGAATAAGAAGCTTGAACACCACAGAATTGTTTAATTATAGCTGATAGGTTGACAGTCTGTTGGTCTGTCATACAATGGAAGCCAAAACTTATTCTATCACCTCAGAAACAGATGTTTTCAATTAAATGAGTGGTTTGAGAGTTTTTTATTAGTTGAGAAATGGGCATCAGAGGAGTTTTTGCAGGCAATGGAATATTAGCTTCTCCTCCTCCTTCAGTCTTTTCTGAGGTTAACAAGACTGAGGTTTAATCTTCTGCCCATGGTGATGAAATCCTGTTCAGTGCCTCCTTTGAAGCCAGGGGATTGAGAAAGGCGTACTTCCTTCAGCTCTGCTAATGCATCCTGAAAGCAGTACTAAGCTATGATGGGCTCTTACCACCTCCCCTATATCTGCCATGTAGGAACCCGTGCATCTCTGCTTGGTGAGCAGTTGTTTGGAAAGAGGAAGAGAACTTTCTTTTGGAAGCACATATTTTCCTCCCCTTAACCTAACTTTTCATCACTATAAGCAACTCTTGTGCTGGGCATTCATCTCTAACAGGAACACTGACAAAATGTAGGTGCATTATCTCCCTTAATCAAGCAGTTTACATTCTGTATTGCATTTGAATTAACCCTCTGGACTTCCGTTAGAAGAACACCTCTGAACAGAGGAGTTGTGCCATGGTACAACAGCCATGAGCTATTTTTTTAATAGCATCTTCTTGATCACCCATCCTTTTCTTATAGCAGTTATATTCTAGTGTTCCCAAGCTTGAATTAGTAGTATTTATGAGTATGATGAAAATTGGATATCTGTCTACCCATTGCTTCTGCATCTTCTATGCACTTAAACTGACATCTTATTTGAACTCTCAGAAGAGGAGGTAAACTGTTTTTTTTCAGTCTTAACTCTGATGATAATTCTGCCCTTACTTCTATGTTCATTTAACTTCAGGAGTAGCTAAACTCTGCGTTAAACCCACCTTCTGATCTTCATCTTTCCCTTTCCACCTCTAGTGCTTGAATACCGTAATCTTTGGCTCATCAAAAGCTGCTTTATTTCTGCCATCACTGCCTCCTTTTTAGAAAAACAGATCCAAATAATCATGCTGACACCTATGCTGACACACACTAAACCTGTCAAATGAAATTTTTTCATGCCTTTTCGTATACTGACCTCCAATCTTGGCGGTCCCACCTCGTTCCCGATCTCTCCAAATATAGCTGCTTTTCCCCTGGAGGTGTTCCTGATGTCTCTTTTTTGGAGCTGAGTGTGTCGTTCTTTGGGGTGATCTGATTTGCCCCTGACCTGTCTAAACAACTCTTGCCTTTGCTAGGGTAATAGTGCTGGTCACCATCAGCGCTGATGTGCCTCAGTTTGTGCTCCTGTACTGCTCCTTATGGGCAACACATATTCCTGAGGAAAAAAAGTCAGCAAGGCTTGTCCCTTCCTTTCCTCCAGACCTCTCATTGTGACTGTTCTGCATGATGCAGTTTCAGGGATGCAGCCTCACTGTGTCCTAGCAGGCTTTGTAGGGCTTGGGGCACCGTGTTTACCCATGGTGTGCTAAAACACCATAAATACAGTGCACTTCAGCCCATGGGGCTTTCACCTTCTGTCCTGCACTCTCAGCTGCTACAGAAATCGGGCATGCCCCACCTCGGTAGTCCTGAGGCATTTCAGACTTGGATGAGCAAAGTTTGCTTTGAATTTTTTACTAGCCTACAACCAAAATAGCTGCCAGTTCAGCTGGACTTCTGTTGTCCACATAGTGGATATGACATAGGAAGCAGACATGTGGCCCAGTGTTGCTCAAGAGACTTTAAAATCAATGACTAAATGATGGAGATAAATCTACAAATTTCAGACAGTGTTTCCAGTGGGTTCTTGGCTGGTTTTTGATGTGATCAACTGACGTTAAAGTATCTGCATGTCAAAACACTTTGCTAATATAACAATATGAAAAATGAATTGCCTTTAGAGTATGCGAGTAGAAGTGTCTCTAACCTAAAAAACAAGCATATTCTACCTCTTTAATGATTGATGGAGATGTCCATGACAGACAGCTGTCCAAACTAGTAATTGAGAAGACTATAGACTGAGACTTGCTGTAGGTTCGTACTAGCAAGATGACAAAAGGTTGTTTGTTTTTTGTTTGGTTTGGGTTGGTTTGTTGTTGTTTTGTTGTTTGTCAGCCTTATAAAGTAGAATCTGCATTTGTTGCAGTGTACTCATGTTGAAAATATTCGTGGTTTGGCAAACTGATGGGGCAGAGCTTCTAGGCAGCCCTTTTATGCGTATTTTTTCTGCAGCAGTTTGTAATGTGCCTGCCTATTCTGACTGATAAATGGAAGTACCTGTTTTGTGTATCTGTCTATAGCTTAATTATGGTACAAACCTTAATTTTATATGCTGTTACAGCTGCCTTTAGCACCCGTGCTAGATGCAGGTAAATGGAATATGCTGGCATCGGTTGTTTGGTTGGGTTTTTTTGTTGTTTTTGTTTTGGGGGGTTTTTGTTTGTTTTGGGGTTTTTTTGTGTGTAACAGGATGTTCTAATAATTTTGGCCTGCATTTGTACAGAAATGGTGTCGTGTAGTTACTATGTGCAGCAAGAGTCAGAAGTCAGACAAAGGAGTGGAAGTTCTCAAATTCTGCCTGGCCTGTGGGGTTCAGGTGCCGGTACGGTGTCTCTCCTCCTTTGTAGCTGTATGTGATGGCAGGTGTGTATTTATGTTTATATAAAACACAGCGAAGGCTTAAATGGAATTCAAAGGCTAAAATGGAATTCACTGAGGCTCTCCTGCTGCTTGAACTGAGACACCAGCACAGCTAAAATTTCCGTGGAAAAAGTGGCTCATTGTGTTTGTTTGCCACAAGCAAGAAACAAAACGATGTTTTAATGAAACATGCTGTTTATTTAAGGTACCTTTTTTTTGGCGTGTATATATCATGACTTGCTGTTACCGTATTGCTGCGTGCTATAGAAAATAAACCACTGAACCAAATGCTGGGGTTTCGAGCGTTTTTTTCACTGATGAAGATATGGCGAAAGATGCTTTCGCCATGTGGCGAAACACCTTTCGTTTACTTTTTCGGGGGGGAGGGGGGTAGTGGAAAATAAAGAAAGAAAGGAAGAAAAAAAAAAAAAAAAGTAAAAATTGTATTTCCTTGGAGTTTCGTGTGCCGGGGAGGAGGAGGGGGCGGGGTTGGGGCCGCCCCTCTCTCCGTCATCGCGGTGCGCCGGCGGGGCGGGCCGGGATGGGCGGGATGGAGGGGCCGGCGGCGGGCCCGGGGGGAGCCGAGCGCTACTTTACGCGCTGGTATAAACCAGGTAGCGCCGGGCGGGGGGACCCGGCACCGGGACCGGGACCGGGACCGGGGCCTGGGCGGCGACGGGGCGGTGACTGGTGTTTGTGCCCTCGTTGCAGACGTGAAGGGGCGGCCGTGCGAGGACTTCTGCGTGCTGCAGCACTCCAACAGGCGAGTGGGGCGGGCGGCGTGCGGGGGGCTTGGGGTCCGCTCTCTGCCCGCCGGGTTCTGACCCCCCGGGAAGACTCTGGCCTTTTCTGTGTACAGCTTAATTGCTTTCCCTTCAGCAAAGGGAAGTGCCGGATTCTGCACCCGGGATGGGGGCAGCCCCGGACGTACGGACAGACTGGGGAATGAGATGCTGGAAGGCAGTGCCAGGGAAAGGGACCTGGGTGTCCTGGTCGATGGCAAGTTGAATATGAGTCAGCAGTGCCCTGGCAGCCAGGAGGGCCAACCATGTCCTGGGAGGCATCAGGCAAAGCAGCCCGGTCGACTGGGGGGACTGTCCCGCCCTGCACTGGTGCGGCCTCACCTTGAATATTGTGTGCACTTTTGGGCACTACGATAAAAGAAAGATATTAAGCTCTTAGAGAAAATGTTCTTCACCCAGAGTGTGGTTGGGCGCTGGAACAGGCTCCCCAGGGAAGTGGTCACAGCACCAACCCTGACAAGAGTTCAAGAAGCGTTTGGATGATTCTCTCGGGCACATGGCGTGACCCTTGGGGATGATTCTGTGCAGGGCCAGGAGTTGGACTCGATGATCCTTGTGGGTCCCTTCCAGCTCAGCAGATTCTGTGATTTGTGTACTATGGGTGGTGAAGGCAAGATAGGAAAATGTCATGCATTGCTTCTGACCTCCCTCAGCAGTGCCCTGTTGGGGCATTGGGAGTGTTTCTGGGGTGTTTGGTCCCAGAGGGAAGAATAAACCTAACTACTATCTACACAAAAACTGTCAGTGCCAGTGGCTCAGGTGTTGAGGGAAGGTGAGACTGCATTTGTGTGCCGAGTGGGTTACCTGCTCCTGTTAACAGTTCAGAATAACAGGAAGAGCGTGGTTGGCACAGGGCAGACCCATTGCCCTGCTGCAGCCTTTTGGAGCTGGAGCTTCTCAGTGGCTTTTTCTGCAGTCCTTTCTCATTCTTTCAAAACCAGAGTGCCTGTGAATAAAAGGTGTGACAGCAAGAGCAAGAAAGGACACCCTTGCATATGTACTAAATATGTAATTACTAGTCTCAGTTGTCTTGATATAAACAATACTTAAAATCCTGTTGATGTGGAGGAAAAGGAAATAAAAATTTGTTCGAATGTCTACGAAGACTGTTTTGCTACTTTGAATTGTGCAATATCAGGGCCCTTGGCTTATGCAGCAGCATAGCCAAATGCTCTATGAAGTATTTTTCCCTTATTATGTATGGGGCTGTGGCTCAGTTTGTTTTTTCCAGGCAGTATAGAATTCCGGGGGGATGTTTTTTTGTTTTGCAAGGTCTCAGGTCCAACAGATGACTGTTCAAATAAATGATTTGCCATCTCCCCCTTAGAAAGAGGCTGGGGTGAAGAGGAGGTAGCTTTGCTGCTGGGGCATGCTGAATGCATCCACCAGGATCCAGCTCCCTCTTGTGGGAACTGCGCAGCCAGAACTCCCTAGAAGTCTGTGGAGACAGATGCAGCATCCACAGGGAATGATCTGGTTTTGTGCCCTGGTTTTCTCTGCAGTCACTGGTCTGTTAATTCTGGTCCTTGCCCTAGGTTATATACTCATTTTGAACAGAAAAGCTTCATCTCTCTTCATTTACTGGCAAGTTCTGGGCTCTCCATGCTTGTGTGTTATGCATGGTTCTAGACCAGGGATGAAGGCAGGCCGTCTCCTCAGCTTGGCTTGTCTCAAACTGTCCAGTTTAACGGAAAGAAATAACCTTCCTTTAGAAAAAGATTAAAGGCAAGCAGCAGGCTAACTAGAGCCCAGATCAGTGAAGGATTTATCTGCTCTAACTATTCACTACAAATGGCCTTTAGCTGTTCTGAGAAACACTGCCTTTCATTACATTTTGTGACAAAAGGGTACTACTGTGCTCTACTTGTCTTAAGTGAGTATCTACCTCAGCTATTAGCTGTCAAGTGAACAAAGTACGTTCCCATAGGGTACAACAACAGACAGAACAGCTCTGGCATATTTAAAAGCAGTGGTCCTGTTTAGGTAAGAACTGTAGTGTTTTTGATGATCCTGTCTAGTATCTCAAAATGAAGCACCTCCTATGGGAGTTGGTTTAGGTCAGAATGCAATTTTCAGGCAGGCAATTTGCAATTGCAGGCATCAAGTAAGATAGGCAGAGAAGGCTGTGGAGCTTGCTTAGAGCACAGGAGCATGGTTTCTCAAAACTACAGCATAATACTTTTTTTTTTTTTTCCAGAATCTGTGTCATCACCTTGGCAGAAGCCCATCCTCTTCTTCAAAGTGGGAAAACAATTAAAAGCATAAATTACCAAATCAGTGCCAACTGTAGCAGACTTCAGAATAAGGTCTCTGGGAAGTCCAAAAGGGTATGGCTTTCTTCTTTTGTTAGTTTTCATTTTAATCTCTCATATTGCCTAAAGCTTCCTGTCCTTTCTAGGACAGAAACCTAGGAGGTTACTTTTGTTTTGTATTGTATTTTAAACCAGCCCCTCTGCAGCTGAAGAATTTAGAGTTCCTCGAGAGGTGCCTGTCTGGCTGTCCTAGCCCAGGTCCTGCAGCACTCCTACAGTGTCACTCAAACCCACTTGCTTTTAGTAATTTTTTTTTTTTATAGTGTACAAAGAGATATAAACATCTCTGAAAAGACAAAAATTTATTTCCAAGAAAATGCCAAGGATTTGGAGATGCTGTTTTTCTCAAGCTAGTCCAGATAGCAGATGGACCAGTTTAGTGTGTTTCGTGGTGGATTTTTGAATGTGTAGTTTAACCTGCTTATACTGATATCAGCCATGCTGTTTCTTCCCTGCTGCAGACTACAGGTCTGCTGTTCTGCAAGAAACTTAATTATGACTAAATCTGGAAGCCCTTAACAAGCTTCTATTTGATTTGAGCACATAACTAAGTTGGCATCTTCCCTTCTGTAGGGAAGCACAGCACTGTAACTTGCAATGACCTGTAACTATCACATATCCTTGCTTTCTGAGAAGCTTACAAACTTATGTTGCTGGTGGTAATACTTTTAAAAGCCCTGAGTCATTAAACTACATATATATTTATTTATTTTTCAAATGCAGGGAGCTCAGTTTTTAACAGAACTTGCCCCTCTGTGCAGGATATCTTCATCAGATGGAGAGGAATACACCATTTACAGGTAAGGTTTTTCCCTTTCTCGTCTTACCTTGACATACTATGGACGTCTACTTAATCTAAACACTTTTGCAGCTGTATACGAGGGCGGCTGATAGAAGTGAATGAAAACATTCTTAGTAACCCCGCTCTTCTGCAAGAAAAGGTAAGACACTTTCTTGCTTTTCATTTTCTAACTTTTATTTCACTGCTTACTTCAGTCTTGCTTTTTAGCCGTCAACCGAGGGGTACATTGCAGTGGTTCTACCCAAATTTGAAGAAAGCAAGAGCATAACTCAAGGACTTCTGACGCAGAAGGAGTACGAGGAAATTTTGTTGAAACGCCGTAATTCTTCTTCATGAAATCAGTTCTACACTTATCATCTGTACTTGATACTAAACAAGCTACTTCTACTGTACACTGTGAGTTTTGTAGTATTGAAAGGCCTAGTGTCAGTTTTTAAAAGTTGAACTCAACTGCTTGATTCATACAAGAATAAACCAGTTCGAATACTTTGTATATTAAAATTTCCGTACTCTTTTTCTCTGAGTTCTAGCACTACAAGTTCTTAAATAAGCTCAGAATGACATGTTGGAGAGTATTTGTGTTCCACAATCAGCTTTGCTTTTGCTTAATGCGAGCATAATACATACAGAAAAATCATATGAATTACCTATCATCAAATTCAGCTAAATAAAAGCAATACGGAGTTTGACAAAGGTGAATTGAAAATAAAAATGCAACAAGCATAGGTATAAAGAGCAGATAAACTTGAAAATACACATTTCACGCCAGGTTGTATTTTCATGGCATCCTGAAGTGAAATAATGCCCTTTGTACACAATTCTGTAACAATCAGTATCTGTTTTCTTAAAATTTAAATGGTATGTCAAGTCAGCATAATACTTCAGTGGTTAAACAAACAACTCAAATTCTGCTCAGTAAATTTTAATAAAAAAAGGAAGCAACAACTACTGTCTACAAATATAGAGGATAACAAAAAAAGGATTTGAGTCAAGACTATTAGTCACTTAGAAATACCCTTTCATAAAGATCAGTCATGTCATCAAGATTAAAATTCAGGGGTGCAGCTACTAAAAGAGTTGGGGTTTTTTTTTGTTGTTTTCTAGGACTACTTCCTTGCAGGTATAACTCATAACTAAGATAACATTTCAGTGCTTCGGGCCACAGCCTTTCAGACTATATTCCTGATTCTGCTTTATCAAATACATAGACTGAAATAGGCCAGAGATGAGTTCACAGACTTCAACAGTAGTGTTACATATAGCATATGCAGCACAGGCGTCTTTACATAAAATGTCTATTAGCAGCATCTTTGGGTTGAAACATCCAGTAAGACATTCATAAGCATTAATTACAAAATCGGTATCAGTGAGCATAGGAAAGGCATTCACATTATAAAAATACAGAACATTTAGACTAGCTGGTGTTGTAATGGCTAAGTAATGGGACATCTATTAGATGTGACAAAGGCCAACAGTTTCATTTCAAATTAACCTGGCTTGACTTTCCACAAATGAAAGCAATATTGAAAATTCAGCAAGTGTTATTTTCAAATGGGAGTTCCTGCATTTCTCAGTGCTATAATTACTTGCTCTCTAAAAATGTCATGTTTGTTACATGATTTTCTAAAGACTTGATGCCAAATGTCTCTGCTCTTCTTTCTGGAGCGTGTGCATTTGTTCCAGTTCGTATTCTGTCTTCTTTCCATGGTGGAGCAGGTTTAAGGCAACCATTTCCTGCTTTATTCTGTGTATATATATAAAAAAGAGTATTTCTTAAAAACAACCAACCAACCCCAACGAAACAAAACCCAAAGCTTATTTAAAAGTGCAGATTAACAAAGTACTGACCTTTCTCAGTAATTTGAAGCAAAGTGGAAGAAGTTGACATAATAGAGTCATCACATTCCTTGTTTTCAGAATGCATGCATCAACCTAAACAAGACAATTGACAGTAGAGCAAGACCACTCATTACCTGGGTTAGGCAGCTGTTTGGTGCGTAAGATGGTAATCTACTTTGAGCTGGACTAAGTAATATTTGTCCTTCTGAAATCTCTTCTAATCAAATGGTTTTGCCTACATTTTTATGAATTTCTCTATATAATACATGTAAAACAAGGGCATCCCTTCTGTTATGCCAAGACTTGAGCTACGATGCAGAAGGGAGTAACGCACGTCACAAGAGAATGTGTAATTCTCTACTAACAATATAGTATTAAAACAGTAATAGGAGTTTCTTGGAAAGGAGCTCTTGTCATCTAAGTATGAATCATCACAATTCTTCATGATTTTCCCTTTTATATTATGTCCTGCCAGCATGTTTTATAAAGCCATGCATCATGAAAGCCTTACTTTGGTGCGAGTTACATTAAGAGCTGTCTTAAATTTTAGAGCATTTGAGTTCATGCCTCAAGTCTGACACTCAGCACAGATTATGAGTTTGGGCCCTTGACAAACATTACTTTGAGAGCCTAGTATTGCTATGTAGTGATACATCACTGTATAAACAGACTGGAGTTCCCATTTAGTTTAGAGAGTGTAAACCAAGAGGTAGCCCCAAGGTGCTCACTTTGGTTCAGAGTGGTTTGCATGCTCTATCTAGTTTTAGACCCTGCTGTAAAACTGAAACACCTTTTTCCACAGCCAATTGGAAGCAAACATCCATATTGCTCACACTGATCATAATGTTGCTCAGGGATACTTAAGTTCTTCAAGAAACCTGACCTCCACTCCCCACTGAGGTTTGCAGATCTACTTGTGGTAATTAACAATGCTGAAACTTTCATGGCAGCTGTACAGGTATTTATTTATAGCAAATATGAATATGATCAGAAGAAAGTCTAGGCAGTTTAGGGTACACTACCTACCTACTGAGAAGCAAGCATGTATTTCAGAAATAGAGATGGGGTTAGAATTTACATTTATATACATTTACATTTATAATAAGCATTAGTAACAACAGAATAACAATAATTATTAAAAAACAGTATTATTACTGCAATCTAGTGGATTACAGTGTAATTATATGCAGTATTACTCCATCTCTTATAATTCTGCTGAAAATTCTCATCTGCAGCATGATAAAATTCCAGTACCTCTCTTTATCTAGTGGGTAAGGTGAGGGGCATGTTGATAGAAGTTCTCTGAAAAAATATAAAGTAGTGGAAGCCTATGGACACCTTTCCACCTTTTCATTTTTTTAAGTCCAGGAAAATCATTGTCTTGGGAAACATTTCTGTAAACCCTCTGAGTAACAATGAAATCCGAAACTTGAACAGTAATTTTAGTACTTTAGGTAATAGGAAGGAAAAAATATCCTTTTAATTATTTTACTGAATCTTAGACTCAATAAGCTCAGGGTAGGGAAACTGTTCCTTAAAACACTGATATCCTAGAATCAGCTGGTTTGGAAAGGACCTCTGAGATCATCAAGTCCAACCCTTGATCCACTACCACCACAGTTACTAGACTATGGCACTAAGTGCCACATCCAGTCTCTTCTTAAATACCTCCTGGGACGGAGAATCCACCACTTCCTGGGCAGCCCATTCCAATGCCTGATTATTCTCTCTATAAAGAATTTCTTCCTAATATTACCAACCTAAACCTCCCCTGGCAGAGCTTAAGACCATGCCCTGTAGAGCAATACTGTCCAGTATTCAAGCCATCCACTGACAGGCTTCCATGAATGCTGGGTGCCAGTGTACTGTATTTTGCCTCCTATCAAACTCCCATCATGAATGAGTGGATAAGGTCAGGATAACTTCACTGAAACCCTTCTCTGATAGTAGGGAAAACATAAAAAAAAGGCCAGAAGACAACAGCACCTATGCTGGAGAAAATCCCCTCCTGAGACAAGGCAGTGCAGCAAATGGTTGGGATTAGTTAGCAGTGAGGGGTGTCCCAATAGACAAAACATTTTCAGCAAAGGAAAGAGTTCTTATGGTTCTTCCTCTATATTTTGCACATCAGCTGCTCAAAACATGCTATGTGCAAAACAGCACTTCAGTTCCTCTCCTACACGGGGAACAGCAACAGTGACATACTGCATAGCAGAAGAATGCTTGCACAATAGCACAAAATTTTGTACTTATTAAAATCCTGTCAATCCAGAAGCCATTCAAGAAGTTCAACTGTCATGAACTGTTCCATATTTTAACAGGATCATAAATTAGTAAGTTACTGCATTTAAAACAAGTTAGGCATTGCTTACAGGAATATATATAATTTTTACCTTACCTTTGTAAAAGTAGCACTTTTACCCTGAGCAGAAGCTTTAGCAGTTATCTGGAGCTGCTTACACACAGAGATGAGTTTTTCAGCCTCCAACAGAAGCAAAGGCTTGTCATCCTCGTGTACCTGAAAGGTGGTTCAGGAAAACAAAACAACTCTGTGTTAAAGACTCTGATTTTAAGTTAACAGAGGAGACAGCACAGCCAGTTTTTAAGCACTGGTGTCACTGGTGTCATAAGCCGAATGGCTGTTTTAGAGGTCATACATCACCTGATCAGAGAAAGCATGAAGAGCTGAAGCAAGCTTTGTGCCCTCTGTGGCAAAAATCTGAAAACAGGAGAAAGCATGTAACAAAAATGAACCACAATGGAAGTTTTTCCTCATTTTAATAGTGTGCTATAAAATAAGAAGGTAGCAGGTATACAACTTGTAATAGTTGTATATATTTATAATTCACAAGTCAGCAGTTTGCAGTCACTTCTGAAATAAGAAGCTACACTACAAACTGCCATCCTCCCAGATAAGCAAAGCTTAAAGGCTTTCCCCTTTACATATAACCCCTCCCCCCAATTTCCAATTATTTTTTGCACTGTGGCAGCAGCTCACAAATTCTTTGTGAGTAGATAACACCTGCTATGTTTGTATATTGTCCTATCAAAGGTAACCAGTCTCCTGTTACACACAGGCATGCAGGCTGGACACAAGGAATCCACACATTCCTTCATTTGGCCCCTTTCCTTCAGTTTGTATTATGCAAATTTTTACATTCTATTTCTTTCCCAAGAAAATACTGCTGCTCAGACTAGGATCGAGTATCTGTTAACACTATCAGGGCCTGACCTAAGTGACACAACAAATACTACTAATGTATTAAAGTCCACTGGTATTTGCCATATAATGCCATAATTTGCTATTCTTCCTCCTAGCTGGAATGTAACACCTGTCAGTATAATGAATGCTATCTCAAGCTACTACTGGAGCACTGAAAAGTTTGCTTTCAGAAGGTATGTACCAGAGTTGGGCTGCTTAAAATCTACAGCTGCCAGTCAATTCATGGTACACTTTACTTATGTGGAAGGAATCCGAGACTTTCATTCCAATTTGGCCTTCAATCAGAGTGCCCACCTCCTGTTGTGTTAAAAACATATTACCTCTGCTTGATGAAATAAATCTTGAGTAGTTTTCAAAAGTCCTTCTCCTCTGCGGGAAATAAGGAAAGCAGAAGATATGCCATGTACAGACTGCAGATTGTTTTGCCTGCTACTTGCATAAGTTATAGTCTCACCAATAACATTTTACAGTTCACACCACTGAACTGTAAATATCAGTCTTTTAGAAGATACGAGACACAACAATAACTTACTACAGGAACTGCATTTCAAAATATTATACCAACACCTCAGTAGCTAGAGCATTACTGGGGAATTAGCAATGGCTCAGTTATCGTAAGCTGAACAAGAATAGAAATCCATGTCTCTGGCATACTGAGTGCTATAGGACTAGTAGCTTAAAAAATAAAAAAACCTCAAAAACATTTTGTAAATAAAAACAAACCTAAAATCTTCAAGTAAAAAAGCTTGGGTAAGGGTAAATTGCAGAAAAACTCTTTTCAGTACAGCAAAGATGGGTAATGCTCAGCTACAATTATATACCTGTGCTTCAATTCCCTTGGTTTTCAAAGAATTTGTGAACATACTTGTTAAAACGTTTTCTGTCCACAAGAGATATTTAAATAGACATGCTGCAACAAAAACCCGCCTAATTTTATTACTAAACAGCTTAGAAATTTTAAAAAAATTATGACGCTTAAGGATAAAATCAACTTCCTTTCTGAATGGGTCCCAATTATTATACTCTGAAAATGAAACTGTCTTCTTTCTTATAAACACTGTTAATCCTCTTCTTCCCACCAAAATTTGCTGCATACAATGTAATTACCTGGTAAATAAATACATGGAGTAGGCCATACTTGACATGCCTTGTCCATGTTGCACGATCTCATTCTCCTGATCTTCCCATTTCTCTGTCTCAGAATCCACATCAGATGTAAGGAGATGCAATTCTAATCCAAGTTTTGCAATTTTTGCCTGTTCCTGTAACCATATTTATGGAACTTGAAAACACATTCTTCAGACAAGATAAAAATAATAAAGGAGGGTTTTTTTTTTTTATGAAAATGATGGCATCTTACCTCAGTATCTAGTTTGACTGGCTTTAATGCTTTCAGATTTGCATTATGCTTCTGTTTCAAACAAAAATAATATTTTTAAATAAAAGGAATTGGTAATCATTTTATTAATAAATCATAAGAGGTAGCTCTATACTCAGAGGAAGACTATGCAGAAGAGTTCTAGTGCTTTAAACAAAATTCTTAGTAGAAACTGAGAACCTGTTACGATCTGTCTGTCCTCCTGAAATGGCATGTGCAAACAGCATCTGTGCCCTGCAGATGCCCTGCAATTTCAAGGAAAAGACCTCTTCCACAGTTCTTGGACTCCACTTCCTAATGCAGTGCAATCTCTTTCCCTTACCCTCTAAATCCTCAATAATATTCTGGACTAAACAAACAGTTTCAATCAAGTGCTCCGGCACTGATTTTTCCATCATCAAAGATGATACTGATGTAACAGGGAAGTTGATTTGGCTAGTAGCAAGCTGATGTAGGCTCCAAACCATGTAAATGCTAATGGCGCCATGTAGCTCATTATTCTATGTCCCTTTGTTAAAACAGCTGGAAACAAAGAGCGACACTTTGATTTTTTCATGAGTTTCCTTCTTTTATTTGAGTCACTGAACTATTGAAAATACCAGTCTGGCTGCAAGCCAAACACCGGCTCAGATTAAACAATAATTAGTGCAGTTCTTGGCAACTGCATGACACACTTATGCAGGAGTACATTATTTGTTTCAAATTAATTTGCAGTTCCTGGCTTTAATTTTGTATGCTGGTGCTGTCATTGTGCAAAGACAGCAAAAACTAACAGACCTGAGATCCACAGTCCATGTTCAGAAACTGCACTGGATTGCAGAGGAATAGCAAGATACAAAGTTGGTGTCATAACTTGAAGAGGTGTGAGACAGAGGAGGAGGATGGATGATCTCTGAGGAAAAGAGCAGGATGGAGACCCTTGTCTGAGAATCTGAAAAAAGCTGCTGCTATTCATTAGTGGGAATACTTGGGCAAATTAAGCTCAGTAATGCCTGCAGGGGAAAAAAGCCCAACGCTGTTCATTATGAACAGCATCAGAAATTAAGCTCCCGGCACCATCTCCATCTCTCACTTCAGGAGTCTGAGCAAAAGTAAAGTACTACTACTGAATTTCCTACTGCAATTTGGTGCTCAGTTTAGCTTTCACGCCTTTTCTCTTTTCTCATTCCGAAATGTTTAAATATTCTGAATCTTATGAATGTCTACCCTGATTAGACACTGTAATTCTGCCTATGTATTAGAAATGCTGATCTCATATTGGAAGATTTAGCACAAAGAGTAATAACTGATACTCTCAATTGTGATTTAAATTTGACTATATTGCATATTAGAGATCCAGTTTAAGAAATGGTTGTTTTAAGGCAGCATCTTAAAAGAAGAACACAAAACCAAACTAAATTTGCATGTAAACACAAACTTTGTGCTAAAAGGTATCACAAATATTAAACTGCAAGAATGAAGGGTACTTCAAGAAAACCAGCCCTCTAGCACAGGTTAAGTTTTTCTATCCAAAAATAACTAAAGAAATCTTGTGACGTTTTTGTAGTTTTCTCCACTCTAGTGTTCAGTTGCATTATTTGAATAGTGCAATTATTAAAAAAACCAGACAAGTTATTCTGCTTTTAAAACATGATTTGACACTTAATGCTATAGAGAAAAAAATATACCCATGCAGTAAACACACCCGTGAATCAGCACTGCTGCTCTGGTGCTCAGCTATGGCGTGGCCTGGGATGCCACTCATGAGCGGCAAACAGCACACTTGCAATTAAACAGATGTAACAAAATAAGTAATCTAATTAGATCGACAAGAACAACATGGCCTCTGTGCAGGGACAGCGTGGGCGTTAGCCAGGCACAGCAGACCTCTGTGCTGGCAGTAGGGAGAGAAGAGGCACTACTGAGAGGAACAGCACTGGGAAGAGAGGCAGTTCCAAAGCTTACTTAATGCATCAGTTAGGCAAAGAAATTACTCTGTGAAGAAATTGTGGTGTCTTATGGATGTAATTTACAGCTGTTGTCTATTTTCAGACCGTGCATTTATTTTCAGTTCACCCAATGGTAAGTATCTTGCAAAACTCAAGGCAGCAACCTTTCAAACAATAACAAAGCAGAACTGTTTAAATCCTGAGCACCATTTTTTTATCGAGAATATTTTAAAAAGCATATGAATCAGTAAGTGGAAATCTGACTTCAAACATCTCCTTAAATTTTGGCTGAAGTCTAGAAGCTATGTAGCTTTTAAACAGTGAAGGACAAAAACCCTATCAAAAGTCACTGAACCAGTCTGTGTCCAGTTTCAATATTTAGTTCCCTAACAATGGAATTCACCCATGCTCACACAGCCAAACGTTATATTATATTTAAATCTGTAGATTGGATTGATAACATATGAGCTTTTCTCATTTCATCAAGGGTCAGAAGTAGAAATGTGTTTGAAGTCATAGAAATTACGTAACAGAAGACACGGGAGACAGGGGATCATTTCACACCCGAATTCCTGAACAGTACAGGTTAAGGAAAGAAAGCATGGAGAGAAAGAAACAAGCTAGAGCTTACTGTACTTTCTGAGATCATTCTTTCCTTTTTTTCCTACCCATGAAAAGATTCAGATCGTAGCAAGTGAATCAAATGACTGATGACATGATACTAACAAGGTTTAGAAGAATTCCTAACATACAGATACTCTCACAAACAACGTAATATCAACTATAATCAGCTAAGGGCATTAAATATCTCACAACTAAAACTGGATAATAGGTGTAACTTTTTTCTCTACATTAAACACACTTAAGATCACAGAAGGACAAAAGAACCCATTATCTGAAGAGCCTACGACAAGTTCAGACGTCCATTGGTTCCAAATAGGTCAACTTGGGCTACAATACTAAGTCTTGGTAATCTGATAATTTATTTTTTTTTTAATTTTCAGTACGTTGCAGCATATTCTTATTGTTTTAATATCAACAATGCATCTTTAAATTATAAAGCATGACAGCAGAGGTATGTGGTAAGAAATGTCATATTAATGAACAGGAAATAAAGTTCCTGTACAATTAAAGTGATTAAAACACATTACATAACTAGTTACCTTAGTCTTCAGTCTGTTTATTACTTGTTAATTAAACTCACAAAGTTTGATATTTTACTGTCAACCATCCATTCAGGACATGTTATCAAGATACTGCTATGTCCCCATCAAATTGTGACACAAAAAGAAATCAAACAGATAACAGTAGATATGAAGCAAATACAACAAACCCAAAAGCAACTTACCCCCGGTCTGGGCAGTGACAGGTAGACACGCTTCTCTCCTATGAAGAACACACAGGTTTATACCAAAATTTGTATGTAGATTTTAATCAATGGGATCAAATGCCTTACTTCATTCATCCTTAAATAGAAGTACTGTAAAAGCAAATGACTTACCTGTAATTCCTCCTTTCTGACTACTGCAGATGATCTTCTGTCTCATGCTTTCAGAGAGACAAGCCAAGAGCTCTGTACTGTTCAGATTTTAGCTCCCAGCAAATTAGCATGCAAGAAAGCTTATCTGAACAGTTTCCCTCAGTAATATTTCTAGTCCCCGTGCTCGTATTCCATAGGGAGTAAAGCAGCTCTCTCCAATGACTATTTACATGCACTCATTTTGTTGCAAAGTACAGAACATGCAATGGTAGCTTCACGTAAGGCCTTTCTTGGCATGGGTTGTATGGTCTAAAATTTATAGTAGACAGTGCCACTGGTAAGAAATATCTAGGCAGGTTTTTCTAAGAAATGCTAATAAAACCCTCATGTTATACTGTACTGTATGTATCACACATGCATTGTATTTTATAAAGAAAAAAGTTCAACATCATTTTACAGACTTATTCAATTGTTTCATACATCACTGGGAGCCTCAAATATTCCAAATCTGAGCAAAACAAACTGAGAAAAAAAATCCTTTTATGTTTTACTTAAAAGTTCATGAGAAGGTTTTATTAAAAAGAAGAAACAGAGCCTGGGCTAAAAGCCTAGGATTAGAGCTTCAGCTACCAGAAGCCTTAATGATCTGTGAAGACTTATGCGGTAGGTTTAGGAGAGAAAAAACTGCTAAACCAAATTAAAATAAGTAACAACCTTAAAAGCTAGTAAGAAATAAGATTTTACCCAAAAAACCCCAAGGGCTACTATGATGGATGTCAGTACCAGGTTTACACAGATATGATGCATCTCAACAAAGGATGAGCAACAAACCCTCCTACAACTGCTACTTCCTTGTCTTCTGTCAGCTCCTAGAGAAATTCCACTGAGTCCTCCGAAGACAGCTCTCTCCTTTGTGCATTTGTGATTTTTTGAAAGCATGCCCTTTATCTCCTGACACCACAGAAAGATTTTGAGCTCCATGTCTAGGCAACTGACTCCTAAAATAACAAATTTTAGGATGTTGACAAGTGTCCCTCAACCCTCCTGATAAATATGAAAAATGTAACCTAAGATCACCTCTTCCCCTACCCAGTTTTGGAAAAGGTGAATGAGCTATCAGGGAACAAGCTGCCTAATTTTTTTCAGAATGCAGAGTTATTTAGATATTAATTGCCCAAACATGTAGCCAAGAAAGATCTCTCCCTAAAGACTGATAAAAATTATGAGAAGTGATTTACAATATCCCATGTATCAAAACATCAGCTAAAGGGCATGTAAGACAGCATGTAAGACATACCAAGAACAAAAGCTAACTTGTAATTTTAAAATGCTGCAACATAAAAGATCTCCTTGGAGCTATGTCAAAACTTGTGCCTTGTTAAAAAAAAAAAAAAAAGTTCAAACACAAAAAAGCTTTGACATAACAAATGGAATACAAGTGCATACCGAGAAGACACACTTCTCACACACAGAAGTTGACATTCAGAATTATGGAAACCAAATGGAAGTATGTAGCAAACAGAAATAAGAAAAAAACCTTTGCTTTAAGAAAAATGCGATTGCTTGTAAAAATAAAGAAATTAGTATAAATAGTATGAATCTAGTGTAATCTGAAAAATGCTTATTTTATTTTATGTGTCCAGCACATTTAGTCACCATTCAATTTTTGCATCTTAAGCTGTATTCTGAACTCTCTAACAAAGCCAAACATTTAAATTGGTAGTACAAAAATACAGGTTTTTAAACTGAGGAGAAAAAAAAATATATACCTCTTACTGTAATTCTATATTTTGTTACACACAATCACAATTTTACTAGGAATAAAGCACTTGATACATTTTAGTCTGTAAAATAAAGACACTTTTACCAACCTCAAGACAAGTATCATGAATTACAAGAAGAATAAAGTCTTATGAAATAGTGAAACTTCATTGTGTTCAGAGGCAGAAGTTTTGTGAATGCCACTCTTATACTCTCTCAGGAAACAAATATTTTAGTTTCATTTATTTACTGGGTCACCAATTGTATTTTCTAGGAGAAAAAAACAGCTTAAAGTGTCAAAGGTAACTTCAGGGTATTTTCTGGTAGCAAAAAGGTGGGGGGACTGGGGGAGGGGAGGGAGTCTCTCCCCTCCGCCTTTTTTTTTTAATGACAAGAGTCAATCTGAAGTCCAACAAGAGAAAACAAGCAAACAAAAGCAGATTAGCCCACAATACAAAGGAAAACTTCGTAAAAGACAGGTGGATATAGGAGACCAAATTACTTCTAAGGAGGTAACTGATGGCTAATATGAAACAAACCAGATTCAGAGAGAAGGCCCCTTCTAGGCTGGCCCAAAAGACAAGGAGAATGGAAACATGATCTCTTAAGCACTGTTTTGGCAATGCAAGGCCTAATGTACCTAAGGCCACATAGAGGAACACAAGCTATGCTTAGTATCTTACCAGTGGTGGTATCAGAACACTTTATGCTGAAAGACCAAGGAAATGAGAGATGCTAATAAAAACAGACTCATCTGGCTATGCCAAACAGGAGAAGGTAGTCTTCACTGCACCTAGGTCCACGCATGAGAAAGCCTCTAACACCTACCCATTCTCTTTTCTCTCCTTCAAGGAATGACACTGGGTTGCCCTTGCAAAATGACACTTTAAAGAAAGTGGAAAGTGCCATTTATGGAAAATGTGTTACCTGCCATCAGCAGCCCCAAGAGAAAGTTACTAAGTGCAGAGGAAGCTGGGCCTCTCACATCAAGAACAATTTGTTTGGAGAGCCAAGTATATGCTTTGCTGTGGCTGCATGATTCTCATCCTAATACACAGCAATATATATATGTATGCACACACGCACAGACATGTATATAAACACATAAAAAGGTTATCATTGAACTCTGGTAGACCACTGTATGAATATGAAAAAAATCAGATACTGCATGATCAGCCCTAGAAATTCCAAATTTATTCTAACACATTAATAATAGAGCAATACCATAATTTAAGTTTCATTTTGTAAAATACTATGTTTAAAGAAAGAAAGTGAGTATGTCCCTGGCTCCCAAAACAAACCAGAAACCTGCTGAATGTTAAAAGGCCCATAAAACAGAATCTCTGATTGTTACACATATTTATGTGGCTTTCCAGACCAAGGTGGAAGAACAAGTAGGATAACAGTTATGTATTTCTTAAAAGTCTCAAATTCCCAAAAACTGTGCTACACACAAATGTTATAAACCCACCTAGAATTTCAACATTTGTTTCCCTTCTACAAGTCTTGAGGCTCAGGCACACACTCATCTAGCAACCAGCAGCAACAATTTAAAATATTACACCCTGTAGCTGGTTGCTATTGTGCTCACAATGCTGCCAGGAAACTGGTTACACAAAAAATCAAGTACAGAAAGTTAAACTGACAAAATCAACTGTAAAAATGGAAAAATGTCTCACATTAACAGCAAGATGAAGTATTGTATCACTGATAAAGTGTCATCTAACCTGAATAAGGATTTACTTTTTCTGTATCTTAGATACAAAAAATTAAGTCCCTGTATTTAACTAACTCTAAAACCTGAGTAATTTTCTTAAAAATACAAGACATTCTGTATTATTATATGTTACATTCTATCTGTATGCAATTATACCTTAAAGACTGAAACAAACACATAGCTGCAAGAAGTATGACAGGCTACACTAAAGACATAATCTGGAAAAAAATTATGTTGGACAAAAATTAAAACCAAAATGCCTTCCATTTTAAAGGTAAATTACCCTATGCTAAAAGTAAATACATAATTTTTTTCCTTAAGATTCCAAGCTTTTCTTCTACATGTTGTACAAATACCAATAAACTTACCAACCAGAGAAAATATCCCAAGATTGTGCAGAGTCGTCAGAAATTCCATCCAGGAGGAAGGACAGCAGTTTAAAAATCAAATAACTACATTCACTACATTATGAAGTGAATACAAGGCAAGCTGACAGTATAGAATATATATGTATTGCCCTAAAATGTGGGAAATTAATTAAACATGTCACACAATTCAAGTTGTATCTTGACTCTCATGAGCTGATATGTCTTAGACGAACCAAAAAGGTGGGATGAAAGCCCTACATGCCTAATATCTGGACACTGGTGGCAAAGAGCTGTGTCTAACACATTCGTGCCCTTTCAACAGTTCCATCTGATTTTGCTAAAACTAGCCACAGTGCAGAAAGTTAAACATACCTAATCATACACAAACCAGGCCTTTACATTTTTGGCTGCTTTTATTTGAAAAAATATCCAGTAAGCAGCCTGATTCAACATCTATACAAACCCAATATATGTGTGTATTGATACCTGGATCCCACAGGATGTGGAACTGTTTGTTGCACTCCTCTCTTAAGAAAACAGTATTTCCTAAATCACACTTAAAATTCTTAGATTATGTGTTTTGAAAACTACGTTTTTCTCTTTCTACACAGCATCCTTACCTCGTCTTCCTTCAAACACATCATTGATTTCTCTCAACAATAAAGACATGTCACTCAGTTGAGACTCCCAGGCCTCGCAGAACACCTCAAGATTTTCTTTTGCAATCTTGCTAGATGGGTGTAATGCCAGTGTTTCTGCAGCAGAAATTATCTGGACAGAGAACAAAGCATTTGCTATTGCAAGTCCTAGTACATAGCGTTCCACATGAATTCACAAATGCCTCCACAGGCAAAACACGAAATTAAACTGCTACTATTATGTCTTTGTAGTGTGTTCATCTGACATTTACAGGCTTGGTGAACTTCCTTGTGTGTTCTTGTGGCTGCTACCCAGCATTGAAGTGTAATTCCTTCTTGGAACTGCTTTGAAGAGTTCAACATTATATCTCCAAAAAATTCACTCAAGTAATTTTTATTGATGTATGTCTAGTAGAAGTGGCCAATTTGAAAGCTAAACATACCTGTGGGCCAGTGACCTGAAAGGTATCTTCTGCATGTATGCAAGTTATCTCAAGGGGCTCAGTTCCAGAAACATGCCTCAATAAGCGACACATCTAGATTTTTAAAAAAATATTAAAAGAATGGTAAAAAATATACTTTCATTAGTAGTGAGAAAAAGTGTACATGCAAAAATCCACACAAACAAACACACACAAGGCTTTTAACAGCCCTTTCAGAAGCTTACAGGGGACCACACCCGAAAGCAATCACATATGTACAGAACTTGGAAATACTGTAGCCACCAGAACAGGCTTATTCAGCAATTAGCAACGATGTGGAAAATTTAGGCCTCCATCATCCAGGGGACTGAATTATATTTGAGCAATTCAGCATCAAATTAGTTTAGGGAAGTAATACTGTTTCCTTTCACAGTAAGCTAACATCCTTTTTTTTTTTTTTTTTTTCTTAATTGAGAGTGAACTTTTGGTCAAGAAGGAACATGGAAGTTTTCAGATCAAAAGACAGAGACAGGACTTATAAAACTTACTGCACTGTCCATCAGAAATGCTATAAGGCCTCACATGCAAACACTAAACCTCAGGGTTATGACTGGAAAAAAAAAATCAGTGTCTCACTGGAACACTAAATAGTCATAGATAAAGGGGACATTAAAGCTGAAATTAAAAATTCACAGCATTGATCTGCCAGTCCTGGAAATTCAAGGGTATTGCTTCGGCTTATTCATACTTCTGAGATGAATCCTCAAGCCCCGTACACCATATTTTTTAAGAAATTAATATTAGATACCATGCAAGTCCAAGTGATGGCTTTCACCATCCATGTTTCAGATCTTTGTATGTCTCCTACTTGTACAGGTACCTGAGCTCACAGCAACAAGGTACAGGTGGCAGACATTCTCTCCACAGCCACTCCTATAAACCATGATTTCTCAGTACTCAGAAGTCCTCTTTATTCATATGTGTGAATACTACCATACAAAACCATGAATGCATTAGTCCATGGAACATGCACACTGCTTTTCACAAAGGAGAAAGATTTTCAGTGGCTTTCTTGACTGACAAAAACTACATGGGACCTTCAAAATGGTCAAATTCACTGCAGTAAGAAACTTGAACATATAATTTCCAGCATTCTTGTATATTTGGATTGAGCTATGGCTAGATGCCTCCTGCTTGAAAGAAAAGAGTTATCATCTCTTCTTGGATCTAGAAACCTGTATTTTTGTTAATATTTTAGACTCAACATATACATAGAGACTGAATCTAGATCCGGAAGGAGAATTGGGTAAGACTGTATATCCTTTCTACAACACCTGTATGCCACAGTGACACCTGTGGCTCAGGCCTCTCCAAGAGCAATACAGAATTCAACAACATACCAGGAAAATAAAATTTTAAAAAAAATTTACAAAAACACAGACCGAAGCCTTCCTAAAGAACAGATTGATGCAAATCCAGCCACTCATTTTCTAAGTGTCTTACACAATGAAAGCTGTTGTGAACTCACCTCAACAAGTTGTTCTTTCTGCTCCGATAGCTTGCAAGTATATTCTGCCACAGCTTCAAGATTTCCTTCTACTCCTGTGATTTTTAATGCTTTGAGAACCATGTGATCTGTATGGTATTTTAGAAGATCTGCTGCCAAAGATGTTGCTGCACTGTGGACCTTGAGTAGTATTAAAAGGAGAGAAAAACCATGGAAGGAAAAAAATTAATTCAGTACGAAGTCAAACAAACTTAAGAGACATACTGATTTTCCCAAGAAGCAAAATTTTACTGCTGTGAAAGCTCATATACAGCTTGTTTATTATGCTGGGTTTTATTTCTTCTATTACTATTCAAAGTACAAAGGTAAAATGCACTGCACTAAAAAAACTCCAACACAATAATGCAATAAACCCCCCCTCCAAAAAACCCAACAAAAAAACCAACAACCCCGCAAGGAAATATGGAGAGAAACAAAAGAGCAGCGGGGTAAAATGAGGACATGAAGTTATCACACTGCTGCTTTCTGATTATGTTACAGATAGGTTAAAAACAGGGGCACGAATCTGTGGGTCACCAAGTTCAGCATAAGCAAGGAACAATGTCTACTCCACTTTTCATAAAGAACACACATTAAACTCTGTGAATCAGACTGAAGCCCCACAACATCTGAGTTTATAATACATTAGAAATTAGAATTATCAGTGGTGCAAAGAAAAGCTTGACTATTATATAGCTTGTGACCCAGCGTTAGCAAAGTAAAAAGCACCTTTTCTACAAGGAGACGGGTCTTGGAGAAGTCTCAAATACACTCCCAAAAAGCAAGGAGAAGGTTCTCCTTTAAACACATCCCTAAAATCCAGACACACTTTCAGGCCAATGGATGTGCCGTAATTGTGCTGTGAAGGACTCTGCTGGACAACAGCTATCAGTGCCAGTTGCCTCTAGTTCTAGTAACCAGTCAGTAGGTTTACCTGTGCCATTAAGAACATAGGTAAAACCAAAACAGCAACCTCTTTCTAACGAGAAGAGTACTCTTATGCTCATAAGATTACTATGAGTCTTGTAATACTGCACTCACTTTGCTAGACTACACTGAATAAAGTGAATATAGGCTGTTCAAGGAGAAAATATTTTTCAAGGTCTTATGAATGCAATGAGCTTGAAACTGATGCTCTAGAGAAGGGAATGTTTACTGTAATGATATGCTGGGGTTTTTATTTCATTGGACTCTATTTATTTTTACCCCTTTCCCTTGGCAGTACAGTGCACCTAGAATTAAGTTTCTCTGGATTTGTGTTTTAATTTCACAAAAGACAACTGAATTATTGCCTCAAAACCTGCTGCAACTGTTTTTAGAGGGGAAAGAAAACAGCTATGACAACCTGTTATAAACTATTGATATAACGTTGCCTGCATGGCATTAAAAATTAGCACAAACCACTAATCTCAGAAATGAAGTCAGCTCTGAAGAAAGGATATGTGAGAGGCTTGTAATGGTTGAAGTGGGAACTGGCAATTCTCATTTATATACAGGCTATATAGAGATAAGCTTTTCATTAGATATTCTTTTCATCATCATCTAAAATAGAAATATACTTCTACTTAATGCTGTCTCTGATCATTAGCAGGAAAATCATCTCAAGGAAGGAATGTAACTTTCGTTTCTTCCATAAAGAGATAGAGATGGGAAAGAACTACTTTTAACAAGGCTGTCTTGTGTTCTCAGCCACTCAGGCTCTCAAAAGCATTTTAATTAGTCACAATACTTTCATTTTACCAGTGAGATCCCTGTTTCTGACTGATACACTGCAGCACCCCAAGTCAGACTGACAGGACAGTCCTCCTCAGCCATGTAAAGAAGCATGGCTACTTCAGAATCAATTCAATCACTACATAGAGAACAACAGAAATGACATAATGCTCTAAACTTACTACTAAGGATAGCATCAATCCTGTACATTTTAAAATGGTTTTCTAAAGCTAGCTTTTCGACTCTGTTAGTCAACAAAGCAAATAACAGAGGATTTAGGATCTGTTGGTTTAGAAATCCACACCCACTCAATTTGCTCCACGATTTCTAAAACAGTGTGCTATGTTTTCACCTACATTGCTTTTAATATAGAGATACATCACAGGGCACAGATAACCTACTATTTTGTGTTTTATGCCACCTTTGTTAGCTAGTTTAGAGAAGATAATTTTCTATTTTTGTCACCTGACAAAACTCTTTAATTTAAGTGTGGTAAATGTGTAGTCTTTGCTGCATGGCATTTTCATAAATATAAACCTGTGGGCAGGATGATATGTTAAGATTTACATTTACAGAGCTGCAAGGAAATACAAGATATTAATGATTTCTTCCACATACCATACACCAGCCACCTGTGGCTTTACGATCTATGAAATTACACAGCTTTGTGTAATTTGACTGGGAATCATCCCTCCTACCTCATTCAGCACCCAGGAATGATATTACTCAAAAATTATAATCTTACAGTTACAGCAGCTGAATGCCCCTTTGGAAAAGCTCTGCTACTGAATTCCTACATAATGGTGACCACATTACAAACCATTAATCAAAGAGCACAAATTATGGACCCTCCACTTTCTGGGAGCCCAACATGCTGCCTGACAGCAGAAGTGCAAAGCACTTTACTGCAACTGAAATAGATTCAAAGCACTGTTTAAATCTTCAGGACAGCTACAGGAACTGTAATCCAGAAGACAAAATTTCTTATTTCACCTCTATTAAAAAAAAGAAGCATAATTTTTTAACAGTTGAGGTTTTCCAGTTACAGCAGCTGACAGCTCAGCCTTAATAAGTTCACGATGCTTCCCTGAGATCTTTGCACTGCTCTGTGTTGAAAACCTCACTGTTCTTAGTCTTCATTTCTCCATCTGTTTAAAAGAACAATAATTTGAAGCAGTTGAAAAGATATCTGAATGATTTTCAAATATTTAGGAAGCTGGCAGAAACCAGTAATTCTGTATTTGACTCAAATCTGTGTAACAGATAAGGCAGCAATGCTCTTCCTTAACAGAAAGGGGGAAGACCCTGATCAGCAAATGCAGTCCATCCCATGTACCAAATGAGGCAGCTATTCTGTATGTGTATGTAGGCTGACCCCCAGCACACTTGCATTTAGGAAAAGAATCATTATTTACAACAGGCATATACACAGCTGCTAACTGTAGAGCAAAGCCCCTGAGTATAAGGCAGTGTCATAACACATTTCTGCTACAGAAATCAATAGAACAGGTTAAGTACAAACAAACTGCAAATGTCATCTATTGATTTAGGCACACACTACAAGAAAAAGTATTTAAAACAGTGATACACAAATCCCCAAGGAAACTTTGCCTTTACATTTAAAGCAATGATTACATACATAGTACTTACTTCCAAACACTTCTTTTTTGTCAGTTAGCAATGAGTACATGTATCCAATGGGTTTCTAATCAGTAAGGACAGAGAAGATAATAGCTTGCTGATGTAATTCTGATTTAGCTACTCTTATCTATAAATGGAGATTAGCCTTTTTGGGTGCAAGATACCATTTTACATCTTCACATATAACAAGCAAAAAATCCAAACTCAGTTTATTTTGCTTAAGCTACACTTACCTCTCTTTTAAGTTCATTCATGCACTGACATGTTTTTAAAATGGCTACTTCCAAGTCTTCCATGAGATCCTTTGTCTTCTGATTTTGCTACAAGCCCAAGAAAGCAAACAACAAGACATTACACAAAAACCCCAGCAAAACCCACCTTCATGTCATATGTCATTAGTTCAAGAAGCTTTAGAAGATGGCCTTTTCTTTGAAGATGAAATGTACTACTTTGCACATCCTGTGTATATTCTAAAATTCTTTTATAGAAATATTTATCACAAAATTAAAACTATAAATAATAGTGGTCCAATCTAACTGACTGCTTCCGTTCAACAGCAATTTATTTCTAAGCCTCCCTGAGCTTTTCTTCAGTAATAGGGTTTCCTTAAGCTTGCCAAGTTCCAAAAATCTTCTGTCAAACCAGTCTACAGTAAAACAAGAGTTTAAGGGTTGCTTTGTTTGTTTGTTTGTTTTTTATATAGAGACCCTTTTATAATGAAGTGATACCTAAAATGTTATACCAAATGTTCTACACTGAATTATAAAAAGAGACTCTCAGGAGTCCTTGAGAAAATATTCACCCTCCAATGAAGCTACTGAGCTGAAACTAAAAAGCCATTTCAGTGAGCTGAGCTGATGCAATTTTATCTGCTACTGTCTCTTTAGTCACAGCTAGGCTGGTTTATTTATCAGTAAAAATACTTAAAGCATAAGCCCACACGTGCATGCCAAAGTATTTTCATGGATCATATACATAGATAATCTGGTACAAGGCTCTCATTTCTATCACTTGAAATGTAGCATGTAAATTATTTAGAGGTGATCATTTTCCACCAGTAATAGAGCTTAGAAATTCCCAAGTGTCCTAGTTTTGGCTTGGATAGAATTAATTTTCTTCATAAATCTCGCATGGTGCTGCTTTGGATTTGTGATAAAAACAGTGCTGGCAACATGGGGATGTGTTAGTTATTGCTGAACAGTGTTTACACAGCTGCCTACCAGAGCTAACAACCAACACCAAGCAAAACACACGTTTAGTTTCTATAGTTAAAGGTGTCTATGCAATTATTATTCTATACATGTCTTGTTTGTCATAACAATATTCTGTATTATCAGTAAGATCTATATACCTTTCAAACTGCACTACTGCATTAAGAACACTTGACTGCAGTATCTGATTCAAAGAGATAAAAAGGAACAAAAATGCTTTCTCATAAGTAATACACTCAATTAAGTAAGTACCCTATACTAGTACACATCTGCCATATTTCAGAATGTTGATAAGATTTTGTGCTATATGTTTCCCAGAAGCAAGACTGAAAGCAAGTCAGCATCAAAACCAGAAACTGCATTTTCCATCTCTGCTTTTGCATGTATCTTCTATTATCTTCAAGGAACAAGTAAGATAAATGTCAAGAGAGAGTCTTAACATGCTGCTTCTCTAAAAACTCCCATCATTTAAATCATGTAAAAAAGGACAAACAAAAACAGCCTGCAAGTCTTAGAGTCTCTTTCCTCTCTTCACAAGATCAAAAAAAAAACAAGTAAATTTTTTAGAGTGTTTCCCTTTCCAATAGTTTAACTGTTTTCAATATTCTGTTGAAAACAGGAAACAAAGCTGTGATCACTGCTAGGGGATCAAGACAATTGAAGTCTCTGAACTATTCCAACAAAATACCTAACTGTTTAAGACCACACAATGATACTATGGTTCACTGCCTTGTTTCCAATTACAGCTTAATTAAAATTAGTCTACTGCCATCAGTAGCCTAATTTAGCCATCAGAGAAACAAGGAAGCAGTAACACTGGGGCAAGGGGAGGACAGAACATATGGAAGTTGCAGAAGTGCAGAACAAACTGTGGCTTCCTTGATCAGCTCTCACTGTAAGGAATACACTCAGTTCTTTCTTCCCAGAACAGAAGAAAGACTGCATTAAAAATTTCTTTCCAAAGTAGAGGTGAAAAGATTTACTTTGCTAAAAAGCTCTTACAGCTTGCATCCACACTGAAACCAGCTGCTCTAGTTCCATTTTAGCCTGTTTAGACAGCTCCAAAATGTGTTCTCTGTGCTCATGGCTGGTATAGGCAGAGTCTGTGAAGTCTTCTGTATGTTCCAGGATAACTTCCAGCATTGTCGAAAGGTTCTCTTTTGAGAGAAAATAAAGATTCTCACGAAGACCCTCCACCTTATTCTGAAAAAGAAGCATATCAATTCCTTGAGAATTTATGTGATTATACAGTTGTGACACAAATGCAGAAAGCAGAGGCATGATTTTACATTTTATTTTTCTCCTCAATGTTTTTTTTTAGTTATTCACTTATTTTCAAAGTAATCCAACAATTTGCTTGTGTCCAGACCTCCAGTTTGGGGTTTGGGATGGTTTCTTTAAAGTGATAATGCCATCAGCAAATTACTGGCCGTTTATCAGGAGGAACAGCAAATACATCACTGTTCTACTGCTGTCAGTAAAAAGTGTTTAAGTTCAGTAAGTTTCAGAAATTAAATGCATATTCCAATTTTGTTTGATCTTTGCACATCCATGTCATCTATTTTGAGTAGTTTTCTAAAAACTTGTATGTAGCAAATTGAACACTTTGAGGCACGTTGCAAAAATTTCAACTGAATTCTAAAGGGGGGAAATAATAGATAAATAAATGAATTGAATCAAAGTGACAGGCTCAAAAGTAGTAAGACATGGTTGTTCATTAACTATTCTTAACAGAGTATGAAATTTAAAAATGCCTTTATGAGGAAAAAAATCAATTGAGCTTCAAGATAAATTTCAATTTAGAACATGTCCTTTGAACAACAGCTTGCTCTTCTAAGTGTTTGTATGAATATTTTTGTCTGCAGTTTTACAAAGTAAGAATTCTTGAACAACAACTGTTTTAATGAAGGTCTCATCAGATGCTGATACTTCAGTTTATTCAATGTCAAGGCATCACCTCAAGAAAACATTAGAGTTCTGAATGCATACTGATTCAAAAGGACATGGCAAGTATTACGAGGTGTATTTTGGCAATGACTTTGAAATTATAATCTCTTCTTGTCAGATTCTCTAACATTTTGGGACAGTAACACTGCTGAAGATACGCAGCTCCACCATTTTAAATTTAAAACTACTTTTTTTCCCCCTAAAATCCTAGTTACAAGGTAGTTTATCGGCTGTAAAAATCAATATAGTTTCTACTCTTACCTTGAATTCTTTGATGCCAGAATATATGCTGATGGGGGCCATTTCATTTTCTCCATTTGGTCTAGAGTCAGTTACAATTTCTATTACCTGTTCCAAAGCTAGTCTCATCCGATGAAAAACTCCATCTTTGTTAATGCGAGCGGATTCACAGTCTGGATGCCGCAGACAAGTCTTTTTAAAGAAAGCAGAGTAACTATTATGAAAGACTATACACATGCAGTATATTGAAATGAAGGTTCCCTATTAAGGCAAGTCTAAAAAATGTGTTAGAGTATGATGAATTCTTTCTGTTAAACTGCTGTTATGTAGAATTCACACCACTACTGAGAATATAAAAATTTTCTTTACACATTCTTTGCTCTTACACCCTTCTTTAGCACAAAGTTTAAACTGGGGCTGAGAGAGGAGAGCTGGCTATGCTGCCAGATGTCATGCTCTGTGATTCAGCCAAGTTGTGTAAGAGTGCACATGCTCACTCACCTTTGAAGCAGTCAGGAGCATCATGGTGCACTTCTCAAGAACAGCCCTAGATGCTGCCATTCTAGCCTTTTTCTTCTCATCCTTTAAATCCTAAACATCAAAAGAAAGAAAATGACCTGAATACTACACAGTATCTAAAATACTAACTGCTTGTGAGACTGCAAAAAGGAAACTCTCTAGCAGATGAATGGGTTGTGAGAAAGCTTCCCAATGTCTGACAATTGCTATTTTCAGCCTAACTCATGATCTAGAACTTGCTTTTCAGAGAGATTTTAATTTATGCATTTATTCTTGGCTCTATTCAATTCAGATTTCAAAGAAGGAAGATCTCAGAGCATGTTATGTAAACTGTTGCTAATTTTGCTATCTTTATCATATAGCATTATTCATAAAACAGAAAAACGAAGGGAAAAGAATACCTGACTGAAAATATTTTCTGAAATGGGGGAGAGGGTAAGGCAGAGACAGAGAAGACCTGCTTTTCACTCTACTGCAGTGAAGGAAATATAAACGAAATCTACTTGAGTGTTATATTTGCTACATAGAAGTAATAAAGAAAGTCTTAACAGGCTAAAAAAGCAATTCCTCTGTATTGCTCTGCATTGAGTACATAAACTCACCAAGAACTGTCCAGGGAGATGGATATACCTGCAAAACTGAACTAACACTCCAGCAAAGTTCATCAAAAAAGAAGAATTTAGACTCCGGACTGGGATGTGGGGGAAGAAGACAAGAAAGACATGAATCCCTCAGCATATAAGAATGTATAGCAATAGGAAGAACTTTGAAAGCTACAAGTACAATCTTCTCACTGCTCACAAAGATAGCTGAGTGCTATCTGAGGCAACTGAATGGGACTGGCTGAAAAGGGAACAATTTACATAACAGAATTAATCCTAATTTACCCCACATTAAAAAAAAAAAAAAAGTACACAGATAAATCACTGCAGCAATCTGTTTTGACATTTTTATAAAATTTGTTTTTAGCAACTACAGAAAATCTTTAAGATCAAAGTCACCACATAAAAAACCAAACAAACAAACAAACAAAAAAAACCCACCAAAAACCCAAAACAAAACCCAATCAAACAACAAAACAGTTAATTTCTGAAATTCTGACATTATACTACAATAAATCTGATGACACTCAGGAGTTTCCAGCATACTTAGAAGTACTTTGAAGGATATTTCCTCACAATAGGGCTAGCAATGCCACGTATCAGCCTACACACTGTAAACTGAGCATATCAAGAAAGCAGATATAATTTAAAAAGTGGTAATGAAACAGTCTTTCCAAAAGAGTCAAGTAGGAAAGGGGGGAGAGCAGAAGAGGAGTTAACACTGAAAACCCAAAATACTTGAAAACAGTATCACTTACTAGTAATGTCCTTTCAAAGGCACAACTGCTATCACTACTTCAGGGAAAAATAAAGAGAGTTCATTTCCGAGCAGAGAGTTCATTTCCTTCAATTACATGCAGTTTTCCGAGAAGTGGTTCCTTGAGATTGCACATGTACTTTAGCAGACTCAGCACACATCAACAGTGAAAGGAAACACATGAAGTTGGCCAATTGTTTATAGAAATTGGATTCTGAAATTTGCTGGATATTAAGGACTCTCTATATCTATATCAAACCCTGGTTCAGTTCTGAATAGCAGATTGGAATGTCAAGGGAAAGCAACCTGAGCTCACAGCAGAAGTCTTAAGCCTCATCAAACCCTTTATTTACATGGAAGTTGCAGGGAAAAAAGCTTCCTGCATGAATGAAAGGTTTTGACAGAGCAGCTGCATGTGAGAACTAAAAAATCATTGCCCTAATATAAGAAGATTTTCACCTAAACCTAGAAAAATATTGCATAATAATAATAAAAACCAAACCCTAACAAGCCACCAAGCAGATGCTTTATTAGAATCTAAGGATTTCACGTTTGGAGTTTTCTAAGATAATTACTCTGCTTTCAAGTCCCCTTCACTATGTGCAAACATCAAATATTTCTGTCAAGTAACAACACACAAATTCTCTACCAATGTAAAGAGCCAGAAAAGTTAGAGTCAAAAGACAGTGATTGAAATCAAAGGACACCACAAATAACATGCAACCAGGCACCTGGAAGATATGCAGATCTAACAGTGCAGTGGTATTTCTCGGGCTGAGCATTGAAATCAAAGGATGTACTTTGGGTGGAGAAAGGAGAGGTTAGGTTCCCAAGACAGGACACCAGCAATTGTTTTGTTTCATTAATCATCCCAGAAGAACCCAAATCTTTCAGTTAATAAGATAAAAATTACACTGTGCAACATCCCTCACAACCTTTTATTAATACTTACATTTTGCCGATCTCCAGTTAAATGGGCAAACTCTACCATTTCATTTCCAAACTGGCTGAATATTTGTACAAACTCCTGGAAACTACTGACTTTTTCTAGTTGTTCCATTGTTGCAAGAACCTACAAGATAAGGGAAAACACTGCAGATTATCAAGATGCTAAACAGAAAACATTATTATCCTAGGAATACTACTATTTACAGAAACTTCTGAATTGTGTAGTTTAAAATGCATACATTTTGTTACTATTTAAGCATTAATAACTCAACAGCATTAATAACTCCACAGCTGGAAATCAAGTATAAATTAATAATCATGCTTCATTCAAAATGAGTCACCTTTTGTCAGCCCTCAGAAAACATTTCCTCCTTCCTCCCAGTATCAAGACTAATAGTATTCAGCTATAACAGGATTCAGCTTCCAGATTTAAGAAAAAATGTGTTTTAAAATTTAATATGACAAGTAACAAGTGCTTGAAATATACACATTAAATCTCTGTGTTGTAACTCTCAATTTCGAAGTTCTATTTCAGATGTGTAACTTTCAAAGTCTAAAATCACAGTTGCAAAGACAGGTGTTTCAAAGGCTCTGTGCATTAAAAAAAAAGGCAATAGAATTCAACAAAAGCAAACAATAAAGTTAGAAATTAGTCAATACAGCATTTTATCCTATCCATAGCCACTTTCTCTAACTTTTGAGATTTTTATTAATTGTATATAAAACAAAGAACTAAATATATCCAAGTTTTATCAAGCTCTTACAATACATTAAAGCATGTAAAATCAGCATTTTTTAAAACATTCAGCAAAAAATATCATATAGCTTATAAATTACTGACGCTATCCTGTGAAGTCATTACAATATGGTTTATAACATGGATTAACATCAGGGTTTTTCAGGTTAGACATATACTTGCTAATCTCAAAGTGACCTTTCAAATGCACTAAAAATCTTCAGAAGGGAAAACAGTCAAAGAAGTTATTTATTGTTTTTCACACTGGAGATAAGATACCACATAAAAATTCAACAAACTGTACTTGAAAGGGAGAAACTTTAAGTTATTTTTCCTTTCCTATGCCAAAAGTTATCTTTCCCCCAACTAAAAAAAAGCAGTCTATATACCTGATTATGACAAGCTATCCCCTTCCTGTAACTCTGGCAAACTCTCCTAGAAAAACCCATTCCTTTGTGGTAGAGCAGCTGCTCAGTCTCAGCTATAACCTACGCAAAGCAAAGGTTCCATTAAATCCTGTGACTACTGTGGAACTGACTCCTTTATCATGCAATATTAGACCACTGTATCTGAGTATATAATGTTATGCTGCCAGTTCCACAAAGACTGTAGAAACAAGGACTTTTCTGATTCAGGTGTCTGATGCATGAGTAAGGATGGGTTATAAAGAACTTGGAAGGAAGGTGCACAAAGAGAAAGATGTGGAAATCGCAGTATGAGAGTGGAAGGTGAGAACCACAGGACTGGGAGAGTGAGGATGTGGAAAAGAGAGCATGGGGAAAAAAACCCAACATACAAGTTGAGGTCCAACTTTCTCTTCTAAGAATGCATAAAAAATTAATTATGCTCTACCATTCTTAGTTTAAGCAAGTATAGTATTTCAAGATTATGGTTGCAGTTGCAAACAACTCTCTTACAGTTACCCTAGAGCAAGTGTTTCTCTCATGACAAATCTTGTCAAAAATTTCAGTGAAAGCACATGCATCTCCATTAAATCTAATAATTCTAGACATCCCAGGCAGAGCTGACATTCCAAGAAACTGTACAGACAGCTCTAAATTTGTCTAAAGCTTATTCAAGAAGCTGCTACAATGCAAAATACCTGTGATATCTTCAGAATTTTTCATTTTAATAGTTCTTCAATATGAAAATGTACATTTTTAAATACAAGATTAAAAATATGTAACAAAATAAGGCTTTAAGTTCCTACTAATATCTAAATTAGCACCTAGTATTGCACAGCTATGGCTGCACTATGAATGTTGCCTTTCAGACAGCAGTTGTAGGCTGACAGCACTTCAGGGCACATCCATATTTTGATCCAATCTGCACAGTGCAGACGCTCCCCCACTACCTGTCACTTCCCTGCTCATTGTTCTCGCGCTCCTAACCTGACTGGTGACAGCAAGCGGAGCAAGACCTTAAGCTCACTGATGCAGTGACTAAGTCCGGTGGACAGGGAAGCTAATTTTATACGGTGGAAAGATGTAGGCAGGGACAGAACAAATGCACACAACCTGAGAACACAAGGACAGTATATATGGTAGAGGATGCAGAAGCAGAAACAAGATCATTGGGACCATCAACTAGAGGTTGGGTTCTGGAGCTGATCACCATTCCAGAAGATCTCAATCACTTCATCATTCTGTGCAGTTGGATGTCCAACCCCTAAGCCATTTCTGCCCTTGGTTCACTCTTAATTCACATGAGGAAGATGATGATGACCATGAAAATAAAAGGTTTTGAGAAAGTGCTACAGCCAAAAAAATAAAAGGCAGTAAAAGTTTAACATTCAGTCTCTAAGAAAAAAATGGAGTTGAGATCTTCTAGAGCAGTGACTCACGTCAAGAAACCAGAGTCTGTTCCAGTTGGCAGTACTGATGATCCTACCTTTCCACCCTCTATGCCATATTATACTACACTGTCTCTGAGTATATGTGTGCACTTCTTAAGTCCCTGCCCATACCAACCCTCTACCACAACATTTCTTACTGGAAGAACTGCTTTGCTATCCATCATAGAGCCTCACACACTTTTCAGGAATGTACTCTATAGAAATCAGGGCATATATAAATATCAGGCCTTTATGAGAGACCACCATTTGTTTAATTTGGTCCTAGAAATGTGAATTGCCCTACTGGTACCATAAACAGAAGCCGACTTTCTCAAGTACAAGTGCACTATGCACAGAAAATGAGAATGCAGTAAAACTCAAAAGCCCGCAAACACTGAGGGGCATCAGGCAAAACATTGCCAACTGATCGAGGGGGGTGATTGTCCTGCTCTGCTCTGCACTGGGGCAGCCTCACCTTGAAAACTGTGTGCAATCTCAGGCACCACAATATAAAACAGATATTAAGCTCTTAGAGGGTGTCCAAAGGAGGGCAACAAAGACTGTGAAGGGCCTTGAGGGGAAGCCGTATGAGAAGGGGCTGAGGTCACTTGGTCTGTTCTGGCTAGAGAAGAGACTGAGGGGAGACCCCATTGCAGTTACGACTTCCACTAGAGCAGAAGTGCAAGAGCAGGCACTGATCTATTCTGTCTGGTGACCAGTGACAGGACCTGAGAGAATAACATCAAGCTATGGCAGGGGAGGTTTAGGCTGGATATTAGGAAAAGGTTTTCCATCCAGAGGGTGGCTGGGCACTGGAACAGGCTCCCCATGGATGTGGTCACAGCACCAAGCCTCCCTTGAGTTCAAGAAGTGTTTGGACAAAGCACTCAGGAACATGGTGTGGTTCTTGGGGTTGTCCTGTGCAGGGCCAGGAGGTGGGCTTCCACGATCCTTGTGGGTCCCTTCCAACTCAGGATAGTCTGTGATTCTATGACTATGGGAGTCAGAGTCAGATTGCTTGCTCTGGAATATAAGACTTCGCTTGAAATACCTTCAAAATTAAATGCTGCACCTATGCTTATTATATTCACATGAGTGTACATATGACAATATTTTCATACATATTTAACATTATCAGAAACCACGCTTGCTGCTGAAATGATATATTCTTCCTTATCCTTTCATGATATATACACTTGCACAGTTGCTCTGTAACCTAACCCCCTTTCCACCAGTCACTTTTGGAAAGGTATAGTAATTAGGATCATTGCACTGTAGGCTGCAGATGACAGCAGAAAAGCAGCAAAAGGTAATAAATACACCATTCTCGTCTCCGGGGCAAGAAAAGACCAAAGCTGCAAATAACTTCATCAAACTGATATAGATGAAAATGCTGCCACCTTAACCGACCACTGGGCTAAGAAAACAGCACAAACACAGCAAGTAAGAGCTGCCCAGTCGCCAGCCAGACAAGAAGCAGATTATTTTCACTGGTTTTGAATCCTGGACTCATATAAGTGTCTTGGATCTAGGAGCTGCAAAATAGAGACCAGCACATCTGGAAAGCAAATTGGGACAGAAGAATAGCAACATCACGAGGAGTCAAAAGAGGAAAGGGGGGCACTGCTCTGGATTGTGAGTTCCAAATTAATGGAAAAACACAGGTTTTATCAGGTTCTCATTTTTCAAACATGAGGTTTTTCTATTTTTGTTTTAGCACATTGTGGAGAAAAAGAAATGGAAGATTATCCTACAGGCAAGACAGTGAAGTCTGCACTGTATGAAATGGATTACATTTGAGTTTAAATGGGCCTTCATACATTATTTAAACCAACTAAGTACATTCATGGTAAGTTTCAAGACCTAAGTTAAACTGCATAAAAAGCTTCTGATCTGCAAGCCTCACATCCATAGCACAGACTTTCATATGCATTCCTCACAGCTTTTTGCTTAGACACATCCATAATGCTCTCTTTGTCTTGATCCTGACAGTACAAACATCCTGTCATTAGCAAGTAGAACCTTTTATTGACCATTTTACAGACAGACACACTTGTATGTAGAAGTAAACCTGAAGTTAAATAAGTAGTAACACAGTATCTTCTACAGCATGCTAAGTCAACAGAGCGATAAATATGGGTCACATAAAATGCAGTCACTGAAAATTGTTATTTTAATACTACTGACTTACAGTCACCCCCTTTCAGATACCTGATAGATAAACATGCATAAGACATTGATTTTTATCTTTTTATTTTAGACTTCCCCTAGAGATACAATGAAAATACCACTTCATTTACCACCACTCTTTTGCACTGACTGCAGGTATCAGTTAAACAAAATAGAAAAGAAGCTACAAATACCTTGTTTCTGGAAGTTATAATTTGCTTTATAACAATTCTGTCTGCTAACACCAGCACCTTTGTGACAGAAGAAAGTAACAATCTTGCAGCTTTTACCACACCCGTTTTGTCCGTAAAGATTGTTATGTGGCTATCAGATTCCGGATGATCCAAGCTTGCCACATCTGTAAGCTGTGCAATTGTTTCACCTAGAGGAAAAAAAAATAAATTAATTTTTCATACCTAGAAAACAGATACTGGGCCATTAAGCATTCTTAACTTTTACCTTTGAGGGATGAAACTATTTCAGAGCTACCTACAGCTCTTTTTTATTTCACTTCACTTCCTTTTACTGACTGCTGGTGGCACCCTCTCCATATTTAAATTTGGGCTACTACTCAGTACTATCTTATTCTTCCATCTGTAACATACACCAATTTTTTTTACAGTAGTCTACAGATATTTGAGTGGGGAGTGGAGTTGGGGAGTGTGGAGGGAGAAATTAACGGGAGATATTTTTCTGATTTTAATAACAAAAGTCAAATCAGTGTCCACACTTGCAGCATCAACCCACTGAAAGAGTGGAATGCAGCACAGAAGGAAGAACTACAAATTCCCCTTCACTTTCCAAATTTCAGTTAGCATTCCCATAATTTATAGATTTCCTATTCCTGTAGAAGTCTTCAGGCATGAATAATAGAGATTCCAGTAACTTTATAAATTATAACTGAAGCATTATAGTGAGACTACTGCACTTTTTATTCAAAGGAGAGACACTAAACAGTATGTTGACAGAGAGAGGAGACAAAAAAAAGGCAAAAATGCACTGATTTTCAGTTCATCATTATCTTCTAATTCAACTTGCATTTAGTTAAATAGCTAGTAGGCTTAACTGACCACTTTTATTTCTTATGCAGTCAAAAATTCTACATCCAGTGCAGCCAATGCATCTGCTTATCTGAGAAAAATCACAGACCTTATCCAATTGAATCTTCTGGAGTACACTAGATAATAGCACAACAGAGGAAAGACAGGGTAGCTTCCTATTCCATTATCACAGAAGGGCTGCTGGGAGAATGAACTCAGGCAAGCTCTCAGACATGCTTTTGGTTAGCATGCAAGACAAGATGATCAACCTACAACTGACCTATAGATCATCCTTGAATATAAAATCTAGGACATCTGAAAAAGTTCCCTAAGACTCATCTTCAAAACCTCAGCTCAGGTAATTCACCTAAAGAGACAAAATACTCCAAGCCTGATAAAGCCACTGTTCCTATATGAAAAACCCGAGGGTGCATTATTCTGGTACTCCACAAATACCACACACAAATACTATAGAACAAGGCCTGACAGTCCTTCAAACCACAGAGCTCCACAGCGTTCATGTATTGATTTCTCTCCTCTGATAACTGTAATCCCTTGGGTTCTTAAGTTGCCTAAACAGGTACTGCATTATGGCATGAAACTTCCAATACTTTTGCCAGGACCAGGCCAGGTCATAACACACACGCTCAAAATAATCAGTGTCACTCTAGTGTAAGTATGCAAACATGATAAACAGAGTACAGTCTGAGATGGTGAGCTCCCCAGTTTAAGGGCCTAAAAATGAACAAGAAGAATTATAAAAGTACAGCTACTATTCTATCACCAAGGGCAGCCAGGTACACTAAGTGAATCTGTAGGACAAGTCTCCAGTCAGGCAATGAGACCATTTAACAGCAAAACACACTTGGCCATTGCCTTCTCCACGGTCCGACTCGTTTCGGTTCATGCCAATGTCTACTTGTTCACCTTTGTCAGGAAATTGATCCCAATCTCTTCCTTCGACTTCAAAACATATGTGACAACACAAAATGCTGTAGAAACATACAGTGAACCAAAAAAGGATGCACAACATTATTATCCCATTTCTTATGCTGTGGGATTCATCTTCTTGAAGATGAGTCAAGTCATAGGTGAAGCATCTACTCATACAAAAACTTATCAGAGAATGTGAAAGACCTGCAACATCTGCCTGTCAAAAGCTCCAGACAGCCCCAGAAATTTGAGACTTCTGATAATAGAAGAAAGGTTTCCTCCTCTGCCTGTAGATTGCAACTACAGGTACATGAATTAAGCCCTGGGAGTAAGCCATCAGGAGTAAAACCTGTTACGGTAAAGAGACTGAGTTAGGGAAGCCATCTGGGTATGAACAAGTCCATAAAACACATCTCAGCATGTTAAAGAAGCAGTTCACTGTCCCTGTAATTCTCCTATCATGACTGAAAGATTGTGACAACTGGGAGAGATTTCCAATGACAGAAAGACAACTGCCACATCCATCTTCAAGAAGGGTAACAAGAAAAATTAAGGCAATTATGGGCTAGTCAGCCTCACATCAGCCTCCACAATTATTACTAAAATAATACTGGAAGCCATTACCACAGGAAGTGGAGAAAGGCAATCAGGAAGAGACAGCATGGACCTGCAAGGGTAAATAGTCCCTTATTGATCTGAATGCCTTCTATGATGAGATGGCACCGATTTTAAAAAAAGAAAGCCATGAATGCTGTACATCTCAACTTCAGCAAGGCCTCTGACGTGATCTCCCACGATGTCCTTAAAACTTCATCATGAGATACAGATTGAATAAGTGAAAAATGGTGGGTAGAAAATGCACCTGACTGTTGGGCTCAGGGATCGTGATAACTGGTACAAAGTCCAATGGGCAGTCAATTTTCAGCAGTGTCTCTCTGGGAATGATATGAAACATCAAAACTGTTCCCAGGATGATGGGCCAGCACATTCAACAGGTGCGTGAACAATACCAAAATGGGGGAATGTCTGATACTGAGGAGGGCAGATCTCCATTCTTGAAGTTAAAATGTCCCTTACAACCTCAGTTATTCTGTGATTTAATTTATTCATCTTAAATTGTCATTTTTCAGTCTTCTTAATTTAGCCCTCTCTGTACTAAAAGACAAGGCAAAAATAGAAAGCTATTTATTGCTTTCATTTTACTCCACATCTTCCTCTAGGGCTATGTAGTCAACTGGCAGAGAATACTGGAAATGTTATGACACTAACTTATTCCTGACATGTGCTTTCTCTTTTAAATTAACCAGTCTTTCCTAGTTTTAGAGGGAGAAAAAAAAAAAAAAAGATAAAAAAATCACAGATGGGCATCTAAAATGCACTTCTTTTGAGTTATGTTCCACTACTATACTGTCACTGTAAACACTGACACAGTGCAAGACTAATGTTAGGCAAAATCTGCTACATGACCCTCTGCAGTGTTTTATGATTCTATTTTGAGTCAATCAAATTACAAGGTTTATTACAAGGAAATAGTCATAACAAGTCTGAAACACTTCAGATCACTGATTACACCCTTCACAAGAGGCAGATACAACATCTGTCATCCTTCAAAGCCTCTGCAGGATATGCAATTGATTTAAAGACTCCCTACTTTTCTTAGCAACTGAGATGCTTAATGTTCTAAATCCTTTAGTGTTGAAATCTATCTTCTATGCCTAACAAAATGTCCCTTTAATTTCCAAGGCACAATCTAATTTATCAACTAAAAAGAATAATTAACAGCTCTACAACACACTCTGCCCTCAACAGCAAGGGCTTTCTGCTGCCTATGCCTCCAGAACATAGGACTCTTTTATACATGTCAATATTCTTGGCTATAATTGTTCAGGAACTTTTTTTTACTTGCTTGGAAACACCAAAGTTATTAAAAATGGCACTTGAGCAACCATGTTCAGAATTTGAATTCAGAGGACATTTATCCATAAGAATTTATCTGCAACAAAGGACTGCTTTACCTTGTCCAACACTGAGCTGCCCACAGAGATAATACTGTCACAAAAATACCCCATCAAACAAAAAAGAACAGCAGCAGACATGTTTGCTATACTGAATTTCCCATATAAGTCTTCAGTTGGCTCTCAAATGCAAAGCTCACAGAGAAAAACTGGCCCATGCCAAGGTAAATGTGAGGCTTGACAGAAATGTAAACAATCCATATCTTCAGCCCTCTAGACTGAGGCACATTATTGCGTAACAGGAAATAAAACTTACAATGTAAAAAACTATAGCCTTTTGTTGAGATAAAATACCGCAGACTATTTTTAGATTCTGAGATCCTCCTGGATACACTGGTAGGAAGAAAAAACACTTTGTTACAGCATAAATGGCAAGTCAAGAAACATTCAGACTGCACGGCTCTTCTAGCATCTGAGATTATCGATGTGAACTTCTGCAATTTTGGCTTGTCAGCACTTTACTTGGATCTCTGAAGAGAAAACACATGCTTCACATAACAGCTGGAATGTTTTTAAATTAGGACATTTCTGTTTGCGGCCAAGTTTACTGGAGCGACTAGGAATTTTCAGTCTAAAGTTTATCCAGAATAGTCCTTCAAATCACAAGAACAATCATTCATTGTCAGCATGTTTCTAGACATTGTGGCTCATTGTTGAGGGATTTTCAGAGGATTTCTTACAGTACCATGCCCAATTTCCAAGCTTTTTTTTTTCTTTTAATCACAAATAATAGTATGACCTGCATCCCCAAAGTCTGAGGCCAGTGCAGTGAATCGGCAAGAAATACAACAGTTAGGACAGCAAAAGACAGGCTTTTCAGGATTCTGAGATTATTTAAAAGATAAAAAACGAACACCCACCCACAAGTCCACTATTTAACTTAACAGAATGGTTTTAAGTACAGTAATCCCTGTCTTCGAGTAGAGTACTGCTCCTTTCTGCAGTCATCAAGACATTAGTGTTGAAGGGTCATTTATTTGCCTCCACATCCAGAAGCTCAAGATTGTCTCCCTGAAGCCACAGTAAGCAGGAAGTCTATCACACACTTGTAGCCACATCCACCTGCTCCAACTGGGAAAGCTTCAAGTAGAACTTCCTATGATCCAAAGGTATTTGAAAGAAAAACCAAAACCTCACCCCGCTAACAACAAAAGGAACATTCTACTAGAAGTAGTCTTGAAGGCTGCACTGGAGATGTAAGATTTACTGAGAGTCACTGAAATATCATACAAATTAGTACTTAATATCCAGGAAAGTAGTTTCTAGCACAACACTGACATTCTCTTATGTTATCAGAGAACATAACCCCCTATTTGCCTAGACAGAGGCTTCTGTGAAAAGGAGGGTGACAGCAAGCAACTCAATTATCCCTACTTTACATTCAGTTCACACACATAGCAAGTTTGCAACAAAACTTGAATCCAGCAAAAAGGCAAACACAATATGATTTTCATTCCACTGTGGAGAGTCATCAGATGACTGATGTGAGTCATCTTACTGAGTCCTGATGAAATATGGGTTGACACTGACCTTCATTCAGACATTCAGATTTAGAATGCAGTGACCTCAATAGCGTAACACTCAATTTTAAATACTCCACTGTTTTAGCTTGGTAGGAATAAACTGTAAAGTTGTATTCCCAACACTCTGCTCTTTGTCTTTAATAACATCGTAAAATAAAGGAGCAGTCAGGTAATTCCTTGTGGCAAATGATCCTATAAAAATCAGAGCCAACACACAATTTTATTCCCTGTTCATAAGATGACAGTAATTTAAGTAAGTGACAAAATCAGGTAACAGATCAGGCCTTGAATGAACCAGCAGAAGAGGGTGAAGCAGTTAAATAATAAAGTTCTTACGTTATTCCTGACACTAAAAATAGTGTGCCAAAAATGGCACTAGTACAATTTTATGAGTAACTACATACCTGCTCTCCTTGCCTCAATGCAAGCAACACTCATTTCCTCTTTCAATTCATGGTTTTCGTTGGCTATGGCTTCACCCACTGTAACAAATCTTCCAACTGCCAGGTTAACTGCTTGGCCCACTCGCTGAATTGCTTGCAGAGTCTTGTCTGAACGCTTTGGTTTATCCTTATGATTAATAAGAGTAGTTATCTGCAAACAAGAAGAGTTATTTATTAGAAAATTTTAACTTCACCATTAAAGGCAAGTTTTGAACTGAACTCTGTAATTGATTTTTAGCATACTTCAGTAAGAACATTTAGCGTTGAGTCATGAAGTATCATTTAACTTCTCAGAGAATAAAAAAGGTTGCTCATTTGCTGTGATCTCAGTTTATCTCAAATGAACTGAAGAATTTTTACTTTCTTCCCTCCTGTTTGCAGTATTAAAATAAGCTCCCTGGGGTCTGAAAAGCCTTTCACACTACAGACACGGTCCTTTCCCCATTAAAGTATCCACCGTACTTGTAACTTGAACTCAATTGCACATGTTTCTAGAATTTAGAAAAATATTGACATTTAGATGCAAATTATCAGTAAAACAATTTGTGAGGACATTCCTATTCTGAACTCCTGGCTTAGCTTTTCTGCCCACTCCATCATGTTATACGTTCCCTCTTGGACCACACGGACCAGAGATCAGCTGTTTTTGGTGCGACAACTGTTCTCTTGTGAGGAGCAGGACAGAAGTTAAACTGTGTAGTTTCAAACATCCTAAATCACCATAAAAGCCCAAAAAAGAGAGTCCTGCCTGTCCTTGCCTTCCACTGTCATGTTTGCAATTAATTTATCTGATGTGGGTTAAACCTGAATGGTGGAGAAGGTGATGCTTGTTAATTTAGTTTTTCCCATAATCAGGTTTCCAGTCCACTTCACTGCATAGCTCCATGAATACTTCAGGTGGCAAAAGGGAAAAGGCACAGACTGGAGAAAGATGGGCAGAAGTGCTCCTTTCAGCAGCAGTGTGGTTTTAAAATGCCCACAGAACTCTACTGTAAGCCAAATTCCCAGGCACTCAAGGATGTTTGCTGACAGAATCTCAGAAATACATGAATTTCTTAAGTGTCTGAACACCTCAGCTACATCAGCCTAATCACAAATGTCTTTGCCGCTCCTCCAAAAAAAAACCAAAAAAAAAACCCACAAACCATCATTCACTCATACATTCTCCCACTAGTCAAGACTATGGTTGGAGAAGAGCATACAAGCTGTACCTATAATGCTCACATGAGATCCAAGGACATAGTAGGAAGCATTGTAGGAACTGTTCTGCTTCATGATGTGATCAGTGACCAAGGCTTACCCTTCAGATGTCACTGAGTTGTCTTTCTAAGGGAAAAAAAAAGGTGTTTTTTAATACCTTTCTGAGGCTAGTTTTGAAGGCCAAGAGTTGGTTCAGCCAAGTGTCCAGTATTAAACTCTTTGCAAAGGAACATGTCAATACTTCATAGAGTGCTTTGCACACTGAAGGAGAGAGGATGGAAAAAAAGAACAGTGCTGTCCTATGGAAGAACTGCTATGAGAACGGAAAAGTATTTTGTTCTCGTACAAAATATCAGTACAGAAATGCTTAGTCTGTCCACTGCCGCCTTATATATGCCCTATTTTTCCAACTTGTACCTAAGCCACAAGGTCTAAAGGAAAGCCACTTACTGTAATTCATACAACAAATCTGTCCGTGTAAGAGTCCCCTTGTAAGAAGTCATCAAATTTCAACCCCAAAGCCTATGAACTCCAGATGCGCTTCCAATGAAAAGATCTTATGATGATGAAAACAGTCTTATTACTTTTATTACTATTGTTTACTGAGCAAATAATTTAGGTTCATTTGAGGGGAGGAATGACATTCCTCAAAACACACAATTACCACCACTTCAGTGGAAATTCAGATCAATATGAAATTGGTAATACAACCAGCTGCACTGTGCGGCTCTCCAGAATTCTCGCATAGTACATGCTTCAGGTATACTAAATTAACAAATACCCAAAATCTAACAATCTCAGCTGGTGAATTCTTGATTAGGCATGGCCAGCAAGCCTACTGAGAGCATTGGTCCAAACGTTGAGGAAAACCAATTTCATAGAGGGTCACAACTTTCTTTCCTCAACTGCTTTTTAAGCAAACAGCAATCCAATACTGGGTTAATATTACATTCATAGAGTTACTGACTTCTCATAAGTGTATACAAAATAACACTGGCCTAAGACAAACTGCAAATTTACATACTGGCTGCAAGTTTACCTCCCACAGCATTTTCCGCCAGTAAAAGTTTAAACATGTTCTGCATAACCCTGACAAAAATGCATATGCAAATCACACTGCAGCGTGAAAGGAATCCCACTGTCTCTTACAATCACCAAGGGCATTTATTTTAATTCCTATGTGACTGCAGAGGTATGCAAATAACAAAAATCATGAAGATGCCACAGCTTAAACTGCTTTATTAAAATCTTACAAAACACTTCCAGAAACATGAGTGCCTTTTACATTTCTACTATTTCTTTACCACCCTCTTCAGAGGGCATCATCAGTTTTGAAGGAGAAAAACCAAACGCATACCCTCTCTCCCCCACCCCCACCTTCCCATAAGGTTAAGCAAGAATCAGGAGCTGTTTTGACAGGTCCATCACCAGTGTCATATTAATCTCATGAAGTTCAGCAAGGCCAAATGCATGGTCCTGCACTGGGGCTGGGACAATCCCCAGTATCAATGCAGGCTGGAGGATGAACAGATTGAGAACAATCCCAGAAAATGACTGGGGTACTGGTGCTTGAAATACTGGATGTGAGCTGACATGCTCGCAGTCCACGAGCCAACTGCATCCTGGGCTGCATCAAAAAATGTGTGGCCTGCAGGTCAAGGGATTGATGCTCCTCCTCTCCTTCACTCTGGTGAGACCTCACCTGGAGTGCTGCATCCAGCTCTGAGGTCCCCAACATAAGAAGGAGTTGGACCTGCTGAAGTGAGTCTAGAGGAGAGCAATGAAGATGATCAGGGGGACAGAACACCTCTCCTACGAAGACAGGCTGAGTGAGCTGGGATCGTTCAGCCCGGAAAAGAGTCCAGGGAGACCTTATAGTGCCCTTTCAATACATAAAGGAGGCTTAGAATAACGATGAAGAAAGACATTTTATCAAGGCCTATAGTGACAGTAGAAAGGTCAATGGTTTTAAATTAAAAGAGGGTGGTTTTAGACTGGACCTAAAGAGGAAATTTTTTACAACAGAAGTAGTGAGGCTTCCCTGACTTGTGAATGCCCCACCATCGTAAGAGTTCAAGGCTAGGTGCTTTGAACAATCTGGGGCTTTGATGACGCTTTGAGCAACCTAGTCTAGTGGAAGGTATCCCTACCCATGGCTGGGGGGTAGAAACAGATAGCCTGGAAAGGTCCCTTTTAACCCAAACCAGCCTGTGATTCTCTGACCTACTTTAGACACTCACTGGAGTAGCTTGTATACACAAATTAAACTGTGCTTGGATGCCTATGGTTATACACAGCAGCTGAGCCTTTGCAAATACCTCCTGGAATAATGGATTCTTAGATGGATAATATAATTTCTTCTCTGACTGGCTAACTTAGGGCTACTACTGTAACTACCACAACATTGGCATGGAGGGAAGTTTGTTGAGCTCTCTCTTTTTTTTAAGAAAAGTCAAAAACTATGGATTACCAGCTAAAAACAACCATGGTGAAAAAACTAAAACAGAAGTTTGTCAAGAAGTTTGAAACATATCACAGCTTCATGTAACACCACTTTCAGGTGTCATCAACATTATGTAGCAAATGCAGCCTGTACTGATATTAGATTTGCATAGGATGTCTACTATAAAAAAGTAACAAACAGCCCTGAAATAGGAATAGGTAGGTCATGATGAAAGAGACAGAGAAAGATATAAAATATAAATCAGCTAAAGTAAAAAGGGTTGGTTTTGGTTCTAGAATCATGAGTTAGACATAAACCAAATGTAAAATGCTTAATAACGTCAAAGGCACAAGAAAAGCTATTCAGACACAGATGGGCTTCTCATAACCTGCCACCTGCAGTAAACACTGCTATGCAAACAAGGAGAACGTGCAATTCTGAGAAGTATCTTACTCTTTCTATCATGAAGTGTTAAGAGTGACAGGTGTATTTCTAGCTATGTCCTCCATTTCAAATAAAGTTTTAGAAAAGCAGAGGCAATAGCAACTGCAGTTTCATATTGTTTTCAAGGCTTATTCAAGCACGTAATTAACGATCAGTTAAAAAGCTAACAAGCAAGATCTTAACTGAGTAAGGAGAGGAATTTCACTAGCATGTTAAGTGACAAACTGAACGAACTTGAGATGCTAATAAGCAGCACAAAGATTATTTAGCAGTTCAGACCATAGTAAAAAAAAAAAAAAATACCCTAGGCACTGAAACTGAAGGGTTGTTGGGTAGAGGCACACAATACTACTCTTGCCTCAGGATAAAACACAACAATGAGCATTAAAAGGCAAATAAGCTAGATTTCTACAATGAAGGATAAAGTTTTTGCTCCTGACTTATAAACATTTAAAACTAGGTTAAATTAGACAGGTTAAATGGAGAAAAGCAAAGACCCACAAGAAACCTAACAAGGAACTTTCTCCCCAACAATCATCTACCTCCAAAGAAACCCTAAGAACCTATAAAAAAGTGAACTAGTAAAATGTGCAGCATTTAAGATATTTCAGATTACAAGAAATTGCTTTTCCCCAGCAGCCCATCCAGTTGCAACCAGACCAGAACTGTTATTGTTGTGCTTCTTTATTTTTTTTTTTTTTTAAATTAAGGAAACCACTTCAAGTCCCAGAACATCACCTAAGCCCTTCTTTAAGCTTAGTACCTCCCAAATATTTAATCTGTTGTATTCTGATCATGTATTACCCAGTGACCAACATCTGTGGTATTTGGACAGGAGTTAACTGCTGAAAAAAATTACCTGCAAGTCTCTTTGAACAGGAGTAATACGTTACATGCTGTTTACTTAAGGATTTACTGATCGGGTCCCAGAAAGGAAACACTCCTTTTGATGGTACTCACCCTCTGTTTAATGTGAGCTCTTACACTGCTGCCATGGAATGCTTATCCGAGATTTGAGACAAGCAATTTAAGGAGTGTGCAGTCTCAAGAAATTGGCGTTACAA